CGTGGCAGTGTCCCCAGTATACATTTACACTTGTGGCAGTATCCCCAGTATATATTTAAACTTGTGGCAGTGTCCCCAGGAAACATTTACACTTGTGTCACTTAATGTCGTGGCAGTGTCCCCAGTATACATTTACACTTGTGTCACTTGATGTTGTGGCAGTGTCCCCAGTATATATTTACACTTGTGTCACTTGATGTTGTGGCAGTGTCCCCAGTATACATTTACACTTGTGTCACTTGATGTCATGGCAGTGTCCCCAGTATACATTTACTCTTGTGTTCAGTAATGGTGGATTAGTGGAGATTATCTGTACGCCAGTATTCCATTTACAACAAAATCCAGAGGAATTGTAACGATGTTTAAAGACGAATTTGAAGAAAACTATTATCTTATAAAATTTGTAAGCCTGGTCAGTTAGCTACATGATGCATTACCTGTCTTTGTGAGACTTGAATAGATAATTCAAACTGGTTTGTACATTTATTACTTAAACTCCGTTGATTGCATAAAGCATGTAAACAAAAAAAATCCTCTCTATCCCATATATGTAATTAATGCAATTATTTAAGACAACTTATGTTACAAATACTAATTACTTGTTGTTCAGGATTTTATAAAAATACACGTGTTGCTGTTCATTATAGGTATAGATTATCGTACTGATGTATTTGTGCCAGAGACATACAAAGTCTATTTTAATTGTACTCTCCATGTTGTAGAAAAAGGGGTGTGATGCATTTTTGTTAATTAGTCTGAATTTTGAATCAGTTGTTTCATTATATTTTTTGGAGACTAACACTTATGTCTTCATTTTGCATTAGTGAAGGTCAATGTTGAAGTTTTTCAAATGTAGGTCAAAGGTCATTGTCAGAGTCACATATTCAAAACAAGAAAGGTCTTGTCACAAGGACCACACATGCTAAATATCAAAGCCCTACCTCTTACGATGCAATAATTATGGCCAATAAAGGTCAGAGGGCATGGTTAAGGTCAGAGTCACAAAAATTTTGGTACCATCGGAAAGGTCCTGTCACAATAAACACACATACCAAATATGAAAGCCCTACTTCTTACGATGCAATAGTTATGGGCAAGGTTAAAGACAGCAAAAAGCAATATGCCCCCAATCTTTCAATCTGTGTGCATAAAAAGTATAATATTTATAGTTACTAGATCAATAGTATCATTAAAATATGTGACGCATCCACATACAGTACACTGTTTGTCTACTTAATAGCTACCACTTTCATCATTAAAATTGTAAACATTCATTACTATAGGTAGTAGTTTAAATATAACTTTCCAGTGCCAACTGAATACATCACAAAAGTAGCTAAAAAGCTCACATATTGAAAACAAGAGTACCAGGTACAATAAAGTACCAGGTATTTTATCACTTGATACAGCAAATCACTCAATGCACTTTACTATATCTGACCCCAGTGACTCTGATATAGCACTTCAACTCGGGTACCTACTGGCTAAATTTGAGTTCCCTCATTCTTTTAACATATTTGACCTATGTGACCTATAAATTGGTAAAGGTTATTTTAATGAGGGAAAATTCATAGCACTAGTACCTGCTGGCCAAATATCAACATCCTGGGTCTTCTGGAACTTTATTACAGTCTGTCCTATATATCTAAAGGCTTATTGGGATTCTAGGTATACAGAATATTCCTAATTTTTTTAAAAATCATTCGATCCTTGTGACTTTGAAAAAAAGTCAAGAACATTCAAATGAAAATCTTACTGTACTCCAACCCTGGTACCTCCTGGCCATATATCAGTTGCCATTAACTACTAGTTTTCTATACTCCAACCCTGGTACCTCCTGGCCATATATCAGTTGTCATTAACTACTAGTTTTCTATACTCCAACCCTGATACCTCCTGCCCATATATCAGTTGTCATTAACTACTAATTTTCTATACTCCAACCCTGGTACCTCCTGGCCATATATCAGTTGTCATTAACTACTAGTTTTCTATACTCCAACCCTGGTACCTCCTGGCCATATATCAGTTGTCATTAACTACTAGTTTTCTTTACTCCAACCCTGGTACCTCCTGGCCATATATCAGTTGCCATTAACTACTAGTTTTCTATACTCCAACCCTGATACCTCCTGGCCATATATCAGTTGTCATTAACTACTAATTTTCTATACTCCAACCCTGGTACCTCCTGGCCATATATCAGTTGTCATTAACTACTAGTTTTCTATACTCCAACCCTGGTACCTCCTGGCCATATATCAGTTGTCATTAACTACTAGTTTTCTATACTCCAACCCTGGTACCTTCTGGCCATATATCAGTTGTCATTAACTACTAGTTTTCTATAAGATAAAATGTTGATGCACAATGGATACTTCTCCATACCTTAAGCTCATTGACACTTTGTGTTACGAGACTCAATAACTGAACGAAAGATTTCAAACAATTACAAAGATATGTAGTATCACTCAGTGCTTGAATACATTGAAGTTGACAAGATAGCATGTGTCGTAAAGGGGGCCCAAAAGGGGGAAAATGTGATGGTGAAACAACAAATGTTTTAAAACAAGTACTGAATATTGTTCAAATGTGTTGTTTACAGTCAATGCAAATTACTTCCATCATTGTAAATAAATGTGTCTGCCTTGTTTACAATTTGTTATAAGCTACATTGTTTATACATGTATATTATAGGCATTATATTTAAAGGGGTTTTCCAAACAATTAACGTGGTCAAGCTGGACATTTGGTATGACCTTAGAGCATCAAGATGGCATCTAGACATAATTAGGGGTGTAAGCAATGTCCATTCAACTTCTGCTAAGTTTTCCCTTGATATCCCTGTAACATGGCACATCTGTCACCTTGTTACCTGATAAAAATCAACCTTAGTATGGTATATGTCAAAAAGTATGCCCCATGCTATTTTTGTCATTTAAACATTTATATATACCAGGTATATAACTATTATGGCCTTGAAACATCATTTTATAGTCCCACACTATAGCACGACGCTGGACAAATACCATGACTTGATGCCTCATGGTTTTTGAGAAGTCACTTACAGAAAACTTCATGCTACATGACAGATACTGCACCAAAGCATATGCCCCCTCTTCATCTGGACTCATGTAGCACTTTATGAAAGATTTTGTAGTACATCTCAAGGTCATACCAATGATGTAATGTTGTGTTGCCAATCATGTGACATGTATGGGATTTCAAGTGTGATCATTTCTTGTCACATGTACCATATATTTTCACATTTATAATTTTCTGACCCATTCTTAGTGACATTATTCTCATGGTAACTTTGTTAACCATTGTCAAGAATTGTTTTTAATATCAGGGGGTCTCAACTTTTCCTCGTCATCTTTCAGCTCAACTTTTTGACGTCATCATTTGTATTATGAATTACAAGAGGCCTAGTGGCCTTGACGGTCACCTGGGATAAGCAATGTTGAATAAAAAGGTTAAAGGATAGTCATCAAGTGTCATGAAACAGAGACTGTTGACAGTTTGAGTTTGTATCCATGGTGGAATAACCAATTCTATGCTAGCATTTTGTGCTGTAAGTTGTGAATGTACTTTCATTTGTGTTTTATAGTTATGTGTATTTACAGAAGGTCCATTTGTTAACCCTAATGACCTCTTCTGTACTAGGTGCAAATCTGAATATTATAATACATAAGGAATTTGTACACATAAATGTAATGAAACATCTTAGTCCACTTCCATATTTTAATGTGTTGTGATATCACACCTGATGCATCATTAGATTATTACCTGTTTACAGGAGATAACTCTTTTGGAAGGATTTCACAATGAGAAAAAACCAAGCCTTGATAATCGTCCAGTAAAGCAAGATACATATACTACTACCTTTGCATGTTTTCAACATGTATTAACATTATGAGGGAAATACTTGTAACAAGTCCATATAAAGAAGAGACAGGCTAGACATACAATCTCTTGCCCCTTGTCACAGGTCCACATAAAGAAGAGACAGGCCAGATGTACAATATTTTGCCCCTTATCACAGGTCCACATAAAGAAGAGACAGGCTAGACATACAATCTCTTGCCCCTTGTCACAGGTCCACATAAAGAAGAGACAGGCTAGACGTACAATCCTTTGCCCCTTGTCACAGGTCCACATAAAGAGACAGGCTAGACATACAATCTCTTGCCCCTTGTCACAGGTCCACATAAAGAAGAGACAGGCCAGATGTACAATATTTTGCCCCTTATCACAGGTCCACATAAAGAAGAGACAGGCTAGGCGTACAATCTCTTGCCCCTTGTCACAGGTCCACATAAAGAGACAGACTAGACGTACAATCCTTTGCCCCTTGTCACAAGTCCACATAAAGAAGAGATAGGCTAGACATACAATCCTTTGCCCCTTGTCACAAGTCCACATATGGAAGAGAAGGGCCAGACGTACAATCTCTTGCCCCTTGTCACAGGTCCATATTAAGAGACAAACTAGACGTACAATCCTTTGCCCCTTGTCACAGGTCCACATAAAGAGACAGGCTAGACATACAATCTCTTGCCCCTTGTCACAGTCAGCGATGGTAAGTTTTAGATTTCTTCACTGTTGACTAGTTTTGCCTGTGGAGGCTTCAATGGGACAGTCGTACACTCACAATGTTTCCCTGAAACTAGTCGGCAGTAAAGAAACCTAAAACTTATCATCCCCGACTTGTTGTGTCCTACCACCTCCATAGATTTCTATTTCTCCTTGTGGGACGCCCTGCATACATTTAGCTATCCAAGCGGTGGATGACTGAACATCACTGAACTCTAAACTACAGGCGCTGGCTCTCTCTTTGGAGTTTTAAGTCCACATAAAGAGACAGGCCAGAGGTACAATCCTTTGCCCCATTGGTGTATTGATTAGTACAAACAAAGGTTAGTCTTTATAAACAACATTGACCTAGACAGTGGCTTTGTGCTCTCATGAGGGAAACTTAACCAAACATAAAACAAAACTTTTTTCAGATTTATAACAAACTTTAATGACAATATCTTATTTTTACATCAGTTATACACAATTTTACAGGTATGAGATTATCCCTTTGATATATTCACCATACCAAACCCATAAAACATGGTGCATATTGAATATGTAACCTCATTCACATAATGTAACTATATATTTACTCTCTCTCTCTCTTACCCCTCCTTCTTTCCCCCTCTCTGTCTCTTCAAAACTTATCTCTCCCAATACCTTTTACAAACAGTACATTACAAAATGAAAGTATTCACAGTTTTCAAAATAACTTCATTACGGTAGTTCGGAAATAAAACTTTAAAACCTTTAAAAGACAATTATCCTTATTTTTACAAAGTTTCTTTCAATATGTTCCAGGTTCTCATATTGCAGCAGACACACATCAACATATCCTTTCATGTCCCTAAGTTTTCTTTAATTTTTATATCAACTTCCGAGGTTAAAATGACAGGAAAATAATCTGAATATTGTACCTCACTTTTGGATCTTTTACCTTTTTCGTTTAATACATAACCACAACCTTCACTTTCAAAACTTATTTGCAATTTTTATTACGTAACATAGTTCAACAAATTTATTGCCTATATGTGAAAAAAAGGTAAAAACTAGATACCATTAAAAAGAAAATTTATAAATTTCACACTGTTTGATTCTTTGGAAAATTCAAGAAAATCGAAGGCACAATTGCAAGTCTATACACCTGAATTAAATTTACCAACTTCTTCAAAAGTTTAGCATATACGCATAATGAACTTTCTATAGAATTACTTTCATTTTGATTTAACTATCATGATATTTGATAATTCAAAAAAGTCATACTTGAAGAAAAACAGCACAAAAAAATCTGGAGACACAGGGAAATACTACTGATGAAGAATGAGAATGATTTGATGATATGATGAATATTTTAAATTAAGATGAAGTGCACTAACATGTCATGCTTAATATACAAATGACCTAATCAGCGCATATTATGTCCAAAGTTAACCTACCACAAGAGCACACAGACAGCACTGAGTTAGTAAAAAGCAGATGTAGATCAACCTCTCATGCTCTGGTTAACCCACTAACTTAATACTCATGCAAAACATGCCACACAAAACCATGGCATCAAATCAACTGAGTAAAAAAAAAGTGCATATTAAAACCTAAATAGAAGAACAGAATGATGACTAAAAGCAGTCTGTCAAATACCTACCAAAATTTCTTTGTGGGCCGGAGAAAAATATCTCCACATAAAACAGGCTTTTGCCATTCAGGAACAATTTGAAAAGTGCGTGGCATAAAAATGTCACTTTGTGACTTACTACTTATTAATCAAATGTGACAACATTTTAAAAATCTGAGAAACTTCATCCTCTAATAATCACATCATAATGGTAGTATTTCTGAAATTTATCATCCACAACATTTCCAAAATTCATCATCAAACTGAAGTTTCATATGAATATGTATGCCAAAGTCCTGAATTAAATACAGGATACTGTAACATCTCATTTTTGTGGGGAATTTCATTGCAATTTTTAAGAAAATTGTAATTTCGCTGGTATTTGATTTTGTATTCAAGAAATCAACCAATACTAAGATTCATGCCCATCTTTAACTGTTGACTAAGAATTCCCATGGAATGAATGGAAATAAAAACCCACAAAAATTAGAACATTTAACAGTAGGAGTATCAGATACAAATGAAATAAATGTTAAACATCTCCACAAATCTTTTTACAGTAGATGGCAAGGTTAAAGATGTTTAGAGCACCAAAAGCATATACAAGAGTGTGTTATATATACGAGAGTGTTATATAAACTTAGTAGTATATGTTAGGTAACTAGAAAAGTATCATAGGATAATGTATGTCACTACATCTAATATTACTGTTAAGTCTGTACTACTTTCTAAAATCATGATCACCATTTGACTAGTTTCCCTTTTGACTTCTGACACCTAAGATCTCCTCGGTGATATGTCAATTTTTTGTTCCTGTCAAGTATATCAATATAATAATGAAAGCCTCTTAAACATTACAACTTATCTGCTTTCTTCATTTATAGTAGGGCTCTTTGTATACATGATCAGGCAGGTAATAAAGTAATGTATATTGGGAAATTAGTTAATTGGTTTGGTTTTTTTTCCAAACCTAAAATTGTTCTTTTTTGTCAAAGGTACACTCCCAAAATATAAGAAAAACACATCAGCTTTGACATCAAACTTTAAACTAATCCCTTATTTTCATCCTTTCACCACACAGGTGAAAGTTGAAATTATGGCAAAAGTTTGGGAAAATAAATTATGAAATGAAAATGCATCAGTGCTAATTACAATGAACATATAATATAAAAGGAATTCAAATTTGTGGGTCACACTTGATGTTCTTGGATACTAAGTTGTACACTGTTAAATCTTCAAAAAACACAATAAAGGGTTCTACATGATAATCAGAAAATAGTGACTGGGACAAGAATATAAAAACATCATTTCATTTCTTTCCTGTTTTCCGAAGTTTTGATGGTTAGAACTGACTTTCAAACTGCTACAGTGTGAATAACATGCCAAGTGTAGGAGTTTTTGCATAATGAACAGGATACTATAATGATTTACTGTTATTCGACAAGACAGCTAGAAGAAATAATGTTGTATGATGGAAGGATATAATATACACATGCCATTACACATTGTGAAAGATTCTACTTCCACGACATGTATAAAATCATATATCTCAGGGCACCAAGTCAAATCCATCCATGCGGGACATTATTTAAAAAAAACAGACACACATGAGTGCATAAATGTGTGCATGGAAACAGACAAATACTGTGCAAGACTGAATACTGGTATTGAAAATAAACCTTATTTTATATCATTTATATGTTCACCAATCATCAACATAAGCATTGTAGAGCTTTTGTTACAATGCCAACAAAGGAAGAAATGTTGTTCTGGTGTTTTATTTTCTTTTTCTTCAGATAATGGAGGAAAATCTACGAGGTAAAACATGTCATCAGATGGTAAACCCACTATCCCAGCAGATATTTGTACCGCCATGTTAAAATCACTACACACCACCACTATAGCAGAACTTTTTAATTATGTATTTTTTGTTAAGAATTTCATCACTTATATCTGTCCATGATTTAAATATTGACACACATTCTGTAAGTCATAACTGTCATACTAGTTGTTAGTCTAAAGCAGGTCAAAAATGTTATACTTTATATATTTATCTCCCTTTTTGACTATACCACATCTAACTTATATGTTTTTAGAATTACTGTCTTAATTATCAAGTTCCTAATAGATTTCTAAATTTTTCCAATAAATATTAACTTCAACCACTACTTGCAAAACAACTTAAAACACTGACATTACCAATGGTCACCTGTTTCTGATATCAGCAACTGTCACTTGGATATTTGTGGTATCAGTAACTATCACCTGGGTGAGTATTTCGACCATACTGGGTGAGTAATTTTGAAATCATCAGCAACCACCATTAGGTACCTCTAGCAGGCAATTTTACAGACTGAGGACATCCCTTCCATATAGACATGATCTAACCCATATTGTGGAGTGAATAAAGATATCAGAACATTTATTCAGCTTAAAACTTCACGGGAGAATATGATAAAAGAAATTGTTCTTGGTAGGACAACTGTTACCAAAGAATTACATGATCCCTCATAGTTAGTATGAATAAATTCTCTTTAAAAATTCAAATTTGTAAAATCTAACAACTAAAATAATGCTGATTCTGGATAAGAAATGAATGAATGGTGTGACAAGAACATATCTATGTAAGAAAATCATGACATACCTGATATCATTGTGAATAAAATTATAACAATCGCACCTCATACTTTTTCAACGGTAACTTCTGTTTTCCTATAACAAATACTTAGCAATCATACTCATTTGCATACCAAAGAGAATCATAATATATATATTTTCATATATACAGTGTTTACCTATTGGCAGACAGTTGAATTGATCCAACAACTGTCTTATACAGTATCATACTTTTCACACCAAAAGCTTCCTGTTTCTTGTCTGTCTAAATGTACAGTGTGTGGAAAATTCAAAAGCACCGACCTGTGTGTCACAAACCATGGGCATGGGTCCAGAATAACTAGAGGGACAATCAATGTGCAATACAAATTAAAAAAAAAAATGATTAACCAGATTAAAAGAAACTTTTTTTTTGCCATAAATAATATCGGAGAAAACTATTACATGAATTTCTGATTTCTTATTGAATCTTCTCTCTAATATTTTACGATTTAAAAAGGCATCTATCAGTCAATATCTTATCACTATCCTGTATATTCAGTTATAAAATCCCAACAGTTGATCTGGACTCACGCATTATATGAAATGTGCAATCATCAACACTTAAATAATATGAACAGTGTGCAGATGGATCACTTAACAGCAAATACTAGAACAGATGAAAATTACAGCTGTGAAGTACAACCTTTCATAACAAACTGCTTAAGTACAAACAATTAAGTGTCTCCATCTAAATAACAATAACAAAACAATGGCCTCCTTTTCAGTAGGGGCTACCGGTACTGGTCCCATGGTACTATACCTCGTAAAAACTCATCAAAGTCCGGGTCAAAATTTGACATTGGGGTGAAATGTTGATAATTAATGGTATGCACTGGAGGTTGGAAAGGCTGGAAAGGAGGGAAGGAAGGTGCAGAGGATGGTGGGGTGACGGGCGACACTCGTACTCCTATGGGTGACTGCTGCGGGGAAGTATGGGTGGACCGTGGTGGTGAGGTGTGAGTGGACCGCTGAGAGTCGCTGGGAGACTGTGCCTCACTGTGACTTGACTGGGCTTCACTGTGACTGGACTGTGAACTGGGGGAACGAATGGGTGATGGTGAGCGTGAGTGCTGAAGAGGTGTGGTGGGAGCAGATAGGGGTTGTGTAGTGCTAGATGATGCCCCAGGGGAGGCAGATGCTGAAGGGGAGGTAGAGGAGGAGGACGAATTGGAACAGGGCGATGATACCAGTGGCGACTCTGTAGAGGAGATGGAGGAGGGGGCCGGTGTTGGGGAGTCGAGACTGATGACCGGCGGACTAACACACCCTGTAGATTGATACCCATGAGAGCTGGACTGGAACGTTGATGGACCATCTTCATCTGAACTGTCTTCTGTTAGATCTATCACATCCATCTTGGGTCGCTTTGTTGGCGATTCTGAAGAAATTTTATTTTGAACAATCAAAATCAAAGAAACATTTTATACAACAAGGGACATCAGAGAATTTTGTTCCACACTCAAAACATTGAAATATCTGACGTAAAAGAAGCTGGACATTTTGTGATTTTCGCTAAAGTATTTCTTTAGAGCTAACATAAATTTGATATCTAACTACATACCTTATTTAGTTGCTTAAGTACTTGCTGAGAAAATGATCTAACCATGCTGGATAAGGATAAAGATGGAAAAGTGGCTTCTTTGTTCAATCAAGAAAAAAATTTATCAAGCTTTTTTATTGGTTGATGCATCAAAGGTTTGAATAAATACTTATAAAATTAATAACTGGATTCAGGTAATAAGAGGGTTTTTTTTTTTTTTTTTTTTGCAAACATTGGAAAATATTTATTAAATTTACTTGTTAAAACAATAAATGCTGCAGTGAATACCATGTTCAACACTAATTTTACCTGAAGTATCTGCCACTACAGTTGCGGCAGGCTTTTTGACAACAGGACTAGGAATCACATGTGTTTCTTTGTTGCGTTGCAGATGGCACCAGTTGCCATCCTCTGTAAACTGAATCTCATCATCTGTGGCCTGTTTAAGGATCTCCACAAACAATCTGAAGAGTAAATAAAGAATAAAGAACGTATTTCTGGGACAAAACTTCAAACTCTCCATCTCCTAGTCCTTTTCACTGGGTGATGCGTGTGAGCATGATTCAAATCTGTCGACGGATCAGGAGATACCATATACACAAAGTGGCTGTCTGCCATGGTGAAGGTCAAATCCATATGGTCTCTGGAAGAATCATTTTCTTTTAACAAGATGAAGGGTGTAACGTTTCAAAATGGGACAAAATGTTGCATTGTGACAAAAAAGTTTTTGTTCAATTATCTCCCCATTATTAGCCATCTGCATATTCATTTTTTACGTCAAATGCACATTTTTTATACATATTAATAAGATATCACACTTACCCATCAATAAATAGTTTATGAAAAGGTGCAATTTTATCACAAACAGGACACATCCAAGTTGGTTTCTTTTCATTCATCATCAGGAAAGTGATGGCATCAAACGTTTGTAGATGTGTACATGAGCTTGCTCGTATCGGTATCGTTATTCTCATCTTTCCAAGCTAAATTTGGAGAGATAAAATATTTTAATGAAGTGTTTCATATGTGTACAAGAACCCTATTATAGTAGTATCATTGTTTCCATCTTTCTCTACATCAATACAGAGTAATTTGGGTTTATAGGGGTTTTTATATAACGATTATTTTTAATCTTTCTAGTGTAACTTCACAACTGCCAAAATCTGCATCTTTTGGATAACAAGTGGTCACCCTTACTACTCACTCATTATGCTAAAAATGTCATTTCACATTGAGACATGGACATTCTCAACTACACAGCCAAAGAAGCTAGCTGATAAACAGCCAATATGACGAACCATGACAACTGTAAGATATCACAATCTTGTATTATATGCACAGATTAGTATATGTATAGATCATTTTATTTGTCTTCCTTTTTAATATAGGGATCAAGTCTGGGACCTCTGGCTTACTAGTCTTATGAGAAATGACTGGCGACGAAGGGAAGATCTTTCCAGCTGAACTAAATATCAAGCACTAACTTTCAAGTTTTGCAGAAGTAAAATTTGTATCAATTTGCATTCCGAAATTCTGAATTACCTGTGTAAAATTCAACACACATAGCCTTATTTTGAAAGTGGCAGGAAGCCATTCCCAGCTGCTAATTTGGCCACAACAAGAAAGCTTGTCGTAAAGTGTATTAGCCTCATCTCTCCAGCATCAAGGAGCCAAGTACCAGTGCTTATACCAAATTGATTCCCCCTTCACCTAAGAATGCTTCAGATCAAATTTAGTGGAAATCAAATCATTCTTACACAAGAAATAGGATTGGGCCCTGCCCCTCCAGACCTAGGGTACTGTGAACTATGGTCTATACAAAACTGATTTCACTTGACCTATGAATGCTTCAGATCAAATTTGGTCACAATCCAATCATTCCTGCAAAAGGACTAGGATTTTAAAGAATTTCCTTTATTGGGCCCTGCCCCTCCAGACCAGGGGGCCATGGCGAACTTTTATACAATAGAATACTATTCATCAAATGCTACTTTAGACCAAATTTGTTAATATTCCGTTCATTTCTACAGGAGTAGGATTTTTAATAACTTACAGAAAAAATTTGCTTCATTTCCCATATTGAGCTCTGCCCCTCTCTATCCAAGTGGCTGAGACCAACTGTTTATACAAAATTATTTCCCTTCACCGAAATATGCTACAGATCCAATTCAGGCAACATCCATTTAGTTGTACAGGAGAAGGAGGAGATTAAAGAATTTGCAAAATTTCCTCTTTTGTGCCCAGCACCTCAGATCCCAGGGGACCAACAACCCACCACTTTAACAAATCTCTTCCCCTTCCCACCAAGGATGCTTCTTGCCAAATTTGGTCCAAATCCCCTTAGCCATATACAACCAGTAGGAAATGTTGACAGATGGAAGATGACAGACACAACAGTACGGTATCAGCTAACCAATCCTTCAGACCTGGTGAACTAAAAACTGTCCTCTTCACTGAATAACACATTTAAGAAACATACTACAGCTCTATGTACTGTACACAACAGATTCAGGACATACTACGTGTTAATGCTAAACACACGTTACTATATCCAATGTTACTATGAAATTCAGTGATTATTACCGACAATTTTGCTTCAATCTCAAAAAGTCTTCCAGGAAGTATTTATCAGCGTTACACAATGAAGCAGTTAATAGCAGTCTTATTTCTCCAATCTTATCATAAACCAGATAGATTAGAGTAAGTCAGTATGTATATTGGTAGTAAATAGCAAATCTGTTACACTCACTGGACAAAGTAAGGATACACGTAGACTAGTCGTTGCTATTTCACTGTCTTGGTCATGAGCCAATTTTTCTTTTACTGTAAAAAAAAAAACACAGGAAAAAATTGTTTAATTAATTTGCTTGCAAGATCTGAAATTGTTATTCAAATGCATAAAATCTTATTTTTCAAAGTTCATGAAGCATTTTCTTTTTACTCCAAGAAGCAGACTTATCAGGAAGATTCTGTCATGACATCTTAGCTGGATCTAGACATTAGATACAACTCTACAATGTAGTCTAGTTTGGAATTTACAAATACAATGAACAATGGTGCTGTAACTCTGTAAAACCCTTGTTGCAACACAATGCAAGAGATTTACATGCAGCCTATACAGTTTCCCAGATATGAACTGCAAATCCTTTGTGACCAGACTTTAAACTAAGCCACTGAAGCATGAAATGTGTTGTATTTTTCAACTTATAAGCCATATCAGTATATAAGTCGCAGAGCCAGTTTTTAGAGTTTTTTTTCCGATTTGATCCACATATAAACCACACCCAAATATAAGCCACACCCTTTCTTACAAAGTGGTAACTGTTACAATGACCAATGTTAGTTTATATAACAGACAATGGAGGGCAATTTATCATGATCGTCAGTGAAACATCTTACAAAAATGTTGACTGAAATAAATGAATTATACATAGTTAATCCTTGATTTTACTGATGTATTTAAAAAAAAATAGCAAGTAACGAACTCGTCTGGCTTGGGTGCCTTCACAGATTGTCTATGCTCAGATATAGGGCCTGAGGTTATGTACGTGTACTAAACAATCTCTCCCTCAGTGTCTACACTGTTAAATATTAATGAAGATCCTTGCATGCTGAACAAATTCTTGTAGCCCAGTATTATTGCTTCATGTAAGTTACACAAAGTCTTTTGTATCGTAAACAAGCATGGCAGTCATTCTAGAATTTGACCCATACCCCGATAACTATCGATCCCAAGACGCAAAAGGCTATTGTAAACTTCCTTTATTGTATGAAGTAACAGCAAAAGTCCAGATGATATTATTGATGGGCAGGTACTCATTAAAAAACCTCAGTACCATCTCATACTAGTGTACTGGTACGCTTCCTGTTTCTTTATTTGTTTTGTTTTTTTTTTACATCATCCTGCCGGGATTTTTTTTGTCCATAGATATGCCACAAGTACATAAGACGCATGCCTGAATCGCGAAGAGAAAGGTGTGGCTTATAGTCGGGTAAATACAGTAGGTCAAATTCAGCATGTGTCTAGCTTACTTAAGGCTCTGGTGTGGTCAGCATGCCGGCTCCCAAACTGTTTCAGTCGCTGTAGTAAAGTATCTGATGACAGCCGCTTCACTAAATATATTGCAACACAGTACCCCTGCAAAACAAGAATAGTCTTCAACAAACACCACGCTTCAAATGATTTTGATAAATAACAGTACAAATGTAAACAAATTTATTACCTGATCCAATGGTAGATCACTCGTTTCATCTTTCCTCTAAGTTATTTGTTACATTGACAATAACTTCCGGAATGCTTGCTAGTGGCTAACTTTAATGTCCGAGGACAATCAAGATGTGATATGCACAATGAAGACAATACTGAACAACAAAACTTTTTTCATGAGTTCTTGAGAAATGACAGTAACAAATTTCTAGTGATGAAATCCAGCTTGGCTGATAGCAGCCATTTTTAATATTTCATCAAACTCAACATGTAGCACTGAACACGTTAGATATACCAGTAAACAATGGAAATTTCAACACTTATCACTTATTTACTTTTTCAAGTTGGATTTCTTGCCTATTTTTCATCTCTGAAATGAAACCTATTTATTTTGAGAACTATCATATTTATGTCTCACCAAAGATTTTCTTCTCAAAACCAGGAATAGTGATTAACTTCTCCACAGAAATGAGTTTTGAATGAGCACTTGTATTGTGTTTTCGTTGTACACGCATATCATTTAAACTCAGCGAGAGTAAAAATTTAGCAAATTGATATCTACAGACAAGACATTTACCCTATTGAAGTCAGTGGCCCATGAAATTTCCACCTGGTTTGCCATTGTGGGAGAGAGTCGACACTGAGGTGTGATGTCTACAGGTCTACCAGGTCTCTTGGGCTCTACACCTGGTTTGGTCGTTGGAATGGGGTTCTACAATACAACATATCGATAGCTCCATCTATTATATCATATTAATGACATCTATTTAGATACTTTTACAGACTAGAAAATGATTGTAAGTCATAAATGCCCCTGCTCTAATGCAATAACAGATAATTTTTTTATTTTGCCGAAGTTGTGAATTGTAACCTTTGACCCTTTAACCTTGATCGATTACCACAGTAATATGATTATTGTTGATACAGAAATCTATGGAATAAATATCTTTGACCAGATTCTCCAATTTTTCAACTCTGAATAGAAAATTGTATTTTATATGCTATACATTTCAGCATATGAGTATATGAAAACAGTTGTACACTCTTTGTCTATTTAGGGTTGCACTTACCGGCAATGGTGCCATTTTACCATTGATTCGCACACAAATATTTGGCGGAAAGTTATCATCCTGTTCACAGGTTGTTTCTAACAAACTAAACCTACAAATCAAATATAAAGGTTATACACAACATAAAATTGTCAGGGGTACAAATCACTGTTTATTTCCCTATTTCTGTAAGAATCATTTTATTCCAATCTATTATTCAAGAACATTTCATGATCTGTTTTAGATTTCCTATATCTTAACAGCTTTATACATTTTATCATGTGTACTCACCTGAGTTGTATTTGTGTGATGAATTCATACTTAGCACCTGGTCTGAAATCTCTGCAAGAGGAAAATCATCAAACCATCTTGAATCAGTTAAAACTTTGACCAACTTCATCAGTATTTAAGTTTCAGAATATATCCAGAAATAAGACAATTACTCTCACAACTAAGGGCTCAAACACAGTCTAGTGAAAACAAATTCATCTATTGTATAGTATGTTTAGAAATGAAGGTATTTTTATCTCTTGCTAATTTAAAATCAAGATTGTGGTCATCTGAATAAGAATCTAACAATCAACAACACACATGTATAATTCTCACTTTAATTACAAAAAGGACATTTTAGTCCACTATAATGTTGTTAGCTAACCATCATACTTTGCTTGGGTCATTACACTAGGCAGACACTAGACAGAAGTCCACTATTGCTTGGGTCATTTCACTAGGCAGACACTAGGCAGAAGTCCACTATTGCTTGGATCATTACACTAGGCAGACACTAGGCAGAAGTCCACTATTGCTTGGGTCATTACACTAGGCAGACACTAGACAGAAGTCCACTATTGCTTGGGTCATTACACTAGGCAGATACTAGACAGAAGATCACTATTGCTTGGGTCATTACACTAGGCAGACACTAGACAGAAGTCCACTATTGCTTGGGTTATTACACTAGGCTGACACTAGACAGAAGTCCACTATTGATTGGGTCATTACACTAGGCAGATACTAGACAGAAGACCACTATTGCTTGGGTCATTACACTAGGCAGACACTAGACAGAAGTCCACTATTGCTTGGATCATTACACTAGACAGACACTAGGCAGAAGTCCACTATTGCTTGGGTCATTACACTAGACAGACACTAGACAGAAGTCCACTATTGCTTGGGTCATTACACTAGGCAGACACTAGACAGAAGATCACTATTGCTTGGGTCATTACACTAGGCAGACACTAGACAGAAGATCACTATTGCTTGGGTCATTACACTAGGCAGACACTAGACAGAAGTCCACTATTGATTGGGTCATTACACTAGACAGACACTAGACAGAAGTCCACTATTGGTTGGGTCATTACACTAGACAGACACTAGACAGAAGTCCACTATTGCTTGGGTCATTACACTAGACAGACACTAGACAGAAGTCCACTATTGTTTGGGTCATTACACTAGACAGACACTAGACAGAAGTCCACTATTGCTTGGATCATTACACTAGACAGACACTAGACAGAAGTCCACTATTGCTTGGGTCATTACACTAGGTAGACACTAGACAGACACTAGACAGAAGTCCATTATTGCTTGGGTCATTACACTAGACAGATACTGGACAGACACTAGACAGACACTAGACAGAAGTCCACTATTGCTTGGGTCATTACACTAGATAGACACTAGACAGAAGTCCACTATTGCTTGGGTCATTACACTAGACAGACACTAGACAGAAGTCCACTATTGCTTGGGTCATTACACTAGGCAGACACTAGACAGACACTAGACAGAAGTCCACTACTGCTTGGGTCATTACACTAGACAGACACTAGACAGAAGTCCACTATTGCTTGGGTCATTACACTAGGCAGACACTAGACAGAAGTCCACTATTGCTTGGGTCATTACACTAGACAGACACTAGGCAGAAGTCCACTATTGCTTGGGTCATTACACTAGACAGACACTAGACAGAAATCCACTATTGCTTGGGTCATTACACTAGGCAGACACTAGACAGAAGATCACTATTGCTTGGGTCATTACACTAGACAGACACTAGACAGAAGTCCACTATTGCTTGGGTCATTACACTAGACAGAAGTCCACTATTGCTTGGGTCATTACACTAGGCAGACATTAGACAGAAGTCCACAATAATTTTATAAGTTAACCATCATAGTTTGCTTGGGTCATTCCACTAGGCAGACACTAGACAGAAGTCCACTATTGCTTGGGTCATTCCACTAGGCAGACACTAGACAGAAGTGGTAAGTTTAAGGTAAGCATTCTTGGTATATAACATTGAAAGCTTCTGTGATCTCGGTATGAACCAGAGATAAAATCATACCTGGACATGGCGATATCTTGTGCTTGTTGTGGTGTTAAATGAAAATTGAAATGTGTTTCCTGGAACTTTGATGTCCCTCTTGGCACTGGAAAGAAAGCATAAAATACCATTTTAAATCTTTCCAATTCTTTAAATTTGACTAAATTCTGAGTTTTATGGAGATGTACTTTTAAAAAACTATGGCAAAAAATCAAGCAGCTACTGTTTTCAGGACCCCTGCACTTTCATCACAGCTAATTCATAACCAGTACCAACTACTTGAATGAAAACTAACCCCATTATAGTAAATGAATTTGGTGATCTTTACAGCTCAGAATTATCATGCTATGTTGGGCCTTTCACTAGTATGCGTATGTTATAACTTGTAAAATTTCAGTTCCTGAACAAAAAGCTGAAGTATCTACTAAGTTTTACCAGGATACTATGTTTTATCACAAATAATAGCTCAGAATTATGCTCGCTCCTATCCCGAGGCCAGTCACCAGCTCACCACATGTAAACTTAATGACTTGTACACAGGAATAACAGCCCACATCTCTGGCTGTTTTCAGGACCCCTGCACTTTCATCACAGCTAATACACATTTATTCCCACTACGCTGACATCAATGCTGATGAGATTTTTCACCTCTATTCAGCTTAAACTGAGAAATCTCCAACATGTTTCAAAGAAGTCTGATGGGCTATTAGCATTTTTCAACTCTTAATACGAATGTGAATGATTTTTTAAAATTTATTTTCATTAACGATGGATGTGCTACCTATTTTTTGAAATTATTCATAAATAATAGGACTGCTTTTCTTTATAATAATGAAACTACATCTTCATACCAAGACTTGTGGGCTTCATGAGTTCTGTAATACAGTCGTAGAAAGGGAGATGTTTGAGACGCACATCTGGATGTACAGGAATCCCCATTGTGCTGGGCTGTTCAACCATTCGTTGTGCCGTAGAGTAGTCCATCGGCCGAGAACCTACAGCAGACAGAATACAACCTCCATCCTAATAACAACAAAATCTAATGCTCTTTACTTGTTAGCATAATTATACAACAAATTGAAAAGGACTTCTTTATCAATTAACAATTGTGTGGCTGATAGCTAAAACATGACAAAAGTCAAGGATTTGTGTAACAACATCATGTCCAACTATTCATTAACTAGCCACTTCTTTTCATTATTTACTAGCATTTTTAATCATGCCAAGAAAAACAGCAAAAAACAAAGCTCCCAACTGTTTATCCAATCTACATGTTATTGTGTGGTATGATTAATGGTGTCTATCATCAGAAAGATATACGAGTTATTTCTGATGAGACTTGTTGTTTGCTGTGTTTGAAGACAGTCTTACTCCCTTGATACTACACAGGATAATGGATAATGCATCAGTCAAAGTAATCACCTCTGTATCTTGGACCTTCTGATTTGACTGCAAATAAAAGAAAATCACTGAGCCGTACAGTCGCTATCCAGGGACAAACACAATCCTACACTACAACAGTGTTCTCTCCACATTGGCTAACACAGGATAAAGTACAATCTTTGAATGTCCAGGACTCCAGGCTTTGGTCTATTCCAGTAAAACACTTAACAATGACCTTGTTAGAGGTACCAATCCTTCATAGATGGCATCAATCCTAACACAGAACTATTAGGCAGGAAGTTCGAAATGCAGCAATTTTTTGTTTTATTTTTGTTTTATGTTTTGTACTATCAGTTCTTCAAATTTGACTTTCCATGTTTGATGGAAACAAAAAAAATAAGGTTTCTTGTTCCTCCTCAATTAAATATGGTTTACACTGTGGTATAAGAATGAAGTGAGAACACTATTATGTAGTCCAAGCTAACATGAACGAATGGCCAAATTCTGTCTGCAATCAGATCAGGTGGTCCACACATGCTCTGTACCTTCATGGTATCAGTCAAATAAGCACAAATACAAATGTATGATGTGATTGTGATCAAAAACGTGTATTACATTCAAAAATTATTTCATAATTCATTGGGATGTCATAAAAGTAAAATTCTATTTTTTATACATCTGATCTTTTATCCTTCAATTTCTCATCAATATATTTTGTTTTGTGCATTTGACTGCTACCTTCATTGATAGGTACCAAATAGTTTTAATTAGGTTAGCTGTTATAGAGTAAACAGATTTTAAAAAGTAATGTGATATAACTTCCTATCAATATAATATAAATATTGCCTCTTATTTATCCAAGTGTGATGTATATAAACACATTGAAAGTAATTTTCACATTGTCCGGTTTAAAACATTGTTAAAAAAGTGCACAAATGACCAAGTCTTTGGTAAGCATTAGTGCTTTCAGTATTCATCTTCTGATGCTCAACAATAAATACTATACATCTCTCACATTTGTGTCTAGCTTCATAATTAAGAACAAAATCTCCCTGAAGATCTTTAAATGCTGGTATTGCAGCTGCTAGAGCAACATGTCCAGATTATTGTTGTTTACTTAGGTAATGATAGTGGTGTATTAAAGACTATAGTAACAATCAGCAATTATACCTACATTCACTTGTATTCTTCAACGAAGAGACAGTGTTTTCTCAAATTTTAATTTAATTTGTATAAATGTAATTTTAAAGGCCTTTCTCATCTTTTGTGTATTTCTCAGAAATACTAACTCATCAGACAATCCTTGCATCCAAAACGATGTATCAAACATAGCTTTAATTCCAATTCATTGCAAATGTGTAGGTTTTAGAACACCCTATAGAAAGTACACTACTCCAGTGAACAAAACTAATTTACTCCCAATTCAACAGCTCCATTTCAGCTTTCTGACCAAGTAAATCACATTTTATTTTAAGAAGCACTGAACATTACTTCTTTCCAAATGGAAAAGTTATATTGATTCCTAATAATTACTTTACAGATGATTTTCTTTTCGTTTTGAAATTTCAATATTTTGATAGTGTATAACGAAAATAATTGCTGTTGGCCAAGAAAATCTGCAACTGAAATTCCAGAAATTGAAGCTATCAATCAGGAAAGTTTAATAAACAAATGTTTATGTGCATGACCAAATTTAAAACAAGTTTAGATTAACACATGCAAACAAAATATTAAAACAGAGTTACTGATAATGGCATTAGATATAAACTGTTAAAAATTTCATTATCCAATAGTGATTAATCAGGCACATATGATGTACTTGGCAGTTTAGTACAAAAGTGTCAATGCAAGCCACACATAGCCAAAAGCATGTAAGCTGTATTTCCTGACATTGTTACTAAATATAGTCTGAAACAGCCCGTTTTTATCTTATACATAATTATCCCATTTACACTTGTGAAATGAAGGGTATACAAACAAAATTATATGCACAGATATCACGAACCTTACAATGCACCCCCTCCCTCCTCCCACAACACAAAAGAAAAGGGGGGGGGGGGATCTACAAATGTAGGAATGTTGACTAATGACCAGTCATTTCAGATTTAACCAGGGCCTTGTTATCTAAATATAAAACAAACTATGCAAAAATATTTTTTTAAGATCATTTGAATTCAGTATCTTTTTTTTTTTTTACACATGCTATAGCTGGTTATTCAGAAATAAACACTGGGTATCAAGATAAAACTTTTCAGAACATAAACATGTGCAGTGAACAAGACCTGTGTCCCTTGTATACCTGGTGATTTCATATTAGGGTACTCTCTGCAGCTATCTACTGGGTCAGGGGCTGTTTACACAAAGATAATGCAAACTTTACTAAACGTTCCAACAAAATGTACATGCACTATTTGGCCATTGTAAATGTAACATTCCATTAAGTCATATTTTATACAAAATACTGTAAAGCATGTCTACCATAGACAAATAGAGTTCATAAGTATCTTCAAACATATTAAGCAGTAGCACAAGTTCCCAATCAGGGCATTTATTTCCATAATACAAATTTGGTCAAATGATTTGTAAGTTTGATAACAGGTACTCGTATTTTAGCCCATCAGTTACTTACCATTTGAGCCATGGCCACCGTATATGTTATACCCGCCTAGAAAATACAACAGGTAGTAAAGTTTACATACCCAAAACAAATCATTTATTTATTATTGTTAGTAAAGTTAGTCTGTTAATTGCAGTACCCTGACTTTAATTGTAATGCTTTATAATAGACTACTTATTACACAAGCTGCAAATATTGCACCTAAAATCAACTTTGTGCATGTGATTTTTAAATTTCTGTCAATTTATTTAATCTATTTCATAAATTCAAATCATATATCAAAGGATTAGACCCTTTCTTTCTGTCCTTGAACATTACAAATGTATCTATGACATTGAAAACATCTATTCTAATATAAAAAACTTGATTTTAAACATATATGACCAAAGTCACACTAGCCATCAATAATATCAAAAGGAAGGGGAGATAAATGTTCAAGAAGGGGAGATAATGTTCAATTATAGATACTTGTATCTTGAGAACATTTTTTCTTTTAAGAATTATTTACAAATTAACTTAACATTCAGTTTTATAGCACATATATCCATCTTGAACTTTCAATACCATTTTAGTTTTGCACTTGTATCAGGTATTTCCAATAAACACACAAGTAAAACATTTAGCCTATTTCTATTACAAAAGTACACCAATTATCTAACAATCCAAGTTGTCAAATTCCCAGATCCTATCATGCATTGACCTAGCTTTTAAGAGAGCAAAGAAAATATGGTAGCAAATACATGATGCTGGAGAGCTACAGATTTACCCCTGCCACTCAGCTTTAAATGAGTAATTTTTGATTGTGTGACCTCCAACTATTACCAATCATACAAGGTACAAGTATCATCTTAAAGTGATAAGCAGGAGTTCCAAAAGCAGCCACAAAGTTACATGCAAGTAAAGCAACAACAGGCATTACTACAGCTACAGAGACAATATACACTGCAACAACACTGCACGAGATTGTCAAATTTAGCAATTTCAACCAAAAAAATCCATCTAGATTGATTAAATAAATAATTCATTATTTCAACCCTAAATGTATTATAAAATGTTCCTTTGAGTGGAGGTTCTAAAATGGCTTGTATTATATACTGTGTATGCAAGTCACCAAGAGACACAACTAGTGTTGAAAGATCAATTCTTAAATGACGCTTGATACAGATAAGGTACATGTATGTTATAAATGTTGACACAAACTGCAAGTAAAACATGTACACTTGTGTCACAAACAACCCATAAAGATATTCCTGTGAGTGTAAATCATGATCTCCATGGAAAATATACTACAACAAACAAGGAATAAATAGTGTAGAACACCAGCAGTGATAGAAGGGAACTAATGGGAAAACATGCTCATCTCTAATTGTATTTAAAATTGTATACCATGTGGTTGAGTATTTTCTTATTTAGCAGAAATTTATTAATTCATTATCATTCTTTTACTGACTACCAATGTGTAATACTGGATGTACAACTAAAAAATAAGGATGAAATAATGCCACAATCTGTAAGTTTCAAATTTAATCCATGTGGATGTTTCCTAATTCAAAGTGAAAACTATCAAATTCTTGATAAACATAACTAAAATTCCAAAACTTAACAAAACATATGCCAATAACATTGGCGTCAAATATGTCTAATATTTAAACTAAATCTTGGAAGTATGCATTTCTATCTCAGGAAGTAAACTTTGCTCAATATGACTGCAGAAATTTAAATATGCAAAAAATACTTCATTACCATATTTATTTCTTTTAATCACACAAATATAGGTTCAATAGTACTGAAGCAACAGAAGCTGTATTGATACACCATTATAGATAATCAAGGAAAAGCAGTGTGTTAGGATCACAATTCTTACCTGAAAGACCTTCATCCTCAGATCGCCCAGGAACTTTCCGTCTGCTCGAAGAAAAAATTTGACTGCATGCAATGAATAAAGTAGTCTGTCCAAAACTGATCATTGATAGTGGTACTTATCTTAAGGGAAAACTTTTTTCAATAAAAAATGTGAATATTTGGAATAATTTACCTTTAACATTGTTACAGCATCTAATATAAATGCCTTCAAAAACAAACTAGATAACTATTGGCGGAAACAGGAACTTTTCTATAGCTATAGCAAGCTACAACAGTCACAATAACCTACTAAATATCAGGAGTCTGATAATGAGAACTCCATCAGAAGTCCTGAATCAGAAACAAACTTACAACAGATCAGATAAATTCTGACAGAAAATTATATAAATATTTTGTTAAAAACAAGTCAAAGTTAATAATTGGACTTTAAAATGTCACTGTATAATTCATTTTGATAAAAATCTAATTCCACATCTTTTTTAAAATTGAATGCATCAGAAAATTCAAATTGGATAAAAAGAATATTCTAATTTGATTTTGTAATGTTCTGCATAAATGAACTGTTGTAAAGCAGCATTTTTATAGAATAACATGCTTCTTTCAATACTCTGACAACAAGTATATATCATAGATACTGTTATACATATCTCGAGCACTATGGGAGACAAATCTCCATGGAAACGGAAGTGCCTTGCTATTTCTTTTTATTAGGTAGGAAACTGGCTGACCTCTAACTAGATTCAATTGCTGTATATTTTCCTGAAGTAAAATTCAGACATTTCCCTTGCTTTTCTTATAATTTAGTTTCAAGCTTGTTTTCCTACTCAAAATATATTGTATGTCCATTGTATTAGTAATGTTATTGAATAAATATTAGTTTTATATAGATTTTCAATAATCATCAAAGAAGCAGTCAGTGATGCTTTCTTGTATCTCCTGTTTCAAACACTAGTTCTGAGATTTATCCAAGACAAAATCAGCATGTTTTGACTTGTCTGATGTCTGAACCATATTAAATGGCATAAAACTTAATCTGCAAAACAGTCAGAGATGCTGACTGCTGAACCTGTGCATCCAGTGATTTTGAGCATTAAATTCACCTGTTTACTAGGGTAAAGGACATTGCAAAACCAATCATTTGTGCCAAATAAAAGACTCCTTACATTCAGTACTATACTGTAACAATCGACCACTATACATTCAGAATTCACCCACCACTTGGGTTTAAATCTTCTCTTACACTTTCCTTGTGTGCATTGTCGTTAAAAGTATTCCTTCCAAACAACATAGATTCATGATACCGTGAAAACATCTCAACATTGATAAACATGAAACAGAAACTGCAATAAATATTACACATGTGACAGCGATGTCACTTATTGACTATATGTGTTTTTAACACCATGAGCACAGAATTATATATAGACTGTCTATCGCATAAAATCAAAGGCTTGAATAGTTGATAAACAATTTATGTAATAGGATAGGTGTTTCATCACTAGGTAACTGTTGTAAATATTGGATGAATGAATGGCGTCAATATTGTTTTGATTTGAAAAAATATTTACTATTCATAATTCAACATATTTTACAAAACTGGCCAAACTTTTACCACACATGTCTGGTGGTAAGACAGTTTGGTAAACACTGAAGATTTCAAAACTTTTTGATTGTAAAATACTATTCCAACTGATCTCAAATAAATTACAATAATTTTTTTGTAGATTTAAGCTAGACAATCTGAGTATAACATGCCAAGATGATCTTGATTTATTTACTTACTTGTACAATTCTCGTATTTTGATCTGTATGGGGACTGAAGCTCCTTTTTGAACCAGTTGTATTGCTCTTTGTAACAGTTCTTGCTTCCGACCAGTTTTATTTCTACCTGCATATCCGAGTAAAACTTGTAGTTCAGACACCCTGAAGCTCATTACCATATGCTGTAAATGAAAACTATATATTTTACAACTGCAAAATAACAATAATAACCATGAAAATACCGATTTTAGAATTCAGTCTTAAAAAAAACACCGAAATTCATAGTCACCATTAACATCCAAAAATTTAAAACATGGAAAATCGTAATTAAAAAACTTTTTGCTTCTTTTATCTTTTTTTACACTAATATACTGCAGATAACCTGATAATCATAGTTAGAACAGCAGCAAATCAAAATTACCATAATTTTCTTATATATAACCTATGACTCATACAGCAATACAATTATCACCTGAAATTTTATAAATGGTGTGTTTTGGGTGAATAGCTTAAAAAATATGAAACAAAATAAGACCTTCTGACTGTACAGATTCATGTGTACCAGAGCCTGCAACATATTCAAGTAAACAATTATCAATTTATCATGAACTGAATGTAATTATCTACAAATAAATATTCACTAAAATGGATAAAATATAAAATATCCAAATATTTCTTCTGAATATAAATTTATTTTCAGTTAAATTTTTAGACATCGAATTGTAAAATTGTTCCTAAAATTGATCACATATTCATTTTTCAGATTTGTTGTAACAGTCTATCATCAATCCTGAAGGATCACAATCAGCATGAGGTTTCAACCAACGAATAACACTGCAATAATGACTACTAGTACATAATGCATACTGATTACATCACAGATTTAAACAGGAAAATCATGATAACTAATCAGCATCTGTTGTAGTGAATTATCAAAATTTCCCACTCAGAAAGTACAAGTACAGCATTCAAATATCAGAGTCCCAAAAATCACTGCTAATACAAAATCTTTTCAATATTCTTCTCACTCAACAACTGTCAAGTATCTGCAAGTATAATGAGTATGCTATAAGGTAAAATTTCTACCAATTTAAAATTTTGCTAAAATAAGTTTACCAGTTGTTTATTATCAATCTGAATAAATCATAACTTAATCCCTGTTTTGTAGCAACCAGAATTTTTACAGAACAAGAGCATAAATCAAGAAATGATTTTAATCACAATGTTTACTATTAGCCAATAGATCTATGATAATCATCTTTTGCATGTATTGGACAATTATTTTACCATTGTATAAGATCAGGGGGCTATTGTACTAAAATGAGGCAAAAAAAATGTGAGGACTTAAATCCCTGATCACACCAACAGCGACACAGAGTAAAATGCAAATAGTTAAAGGGCCATACTATTGTTGTTAAAAACTAAAAATTTTCAATATTTATGGTTGATTGCATGGGCATACAGTTACATTTCATCACCTTTACTTTTTTAAAAACAAGTGCCAAATAAAGAAATGGAAATAACAAAATGCTTATGTCATACTTCTTAAAACCATCTTTTTTCCTCGTCATGAATATTATTCAGTTCTGGCAATGTTAATCAAATATGCAATTAAGACAAAAAGATTTTTTTCTTCTTTTTCAGCAAACTGGTTTTAGGACAGAAACATTTTTCTGTCTTCTTTTTTTTTCAACTAACTTATACAATTTGGGAACATTTTCAAACCAAATGACCCATGACATGTTTAAAATTTATGGTCACTTTTTTTATATCAACTTCTCCAAAAAATACAAATTTAATATGTCAGATTTTCAAATCAGAAATAAAATATATGACGTACTCAAGAATGGATATGTCACAATGGCATTGATGCCATAAAGTACTTTCTAAATGTAAATTACAAAAAGTTACAAAAAAATAACACCCATTCAAATGATAAAACAGTGTATTTTAGTTTCATTATGGTTTCACACTGATACATACTGAAATCATAAAATATATTGTAAAACATTCACAAGACCAATTTACAGGATAACATTTATGAGGTGTAGTCTTTCCATCCTACAGAGGCACTTGACCAAATAAAAACATGTTATGGTAGACATATTCACTGTATCACAATTTCAAACAAAACAGTAAGTAACTGCGTCGTTAATATCGTTTCAGAAATATTATCTACAAAAACAATCATGTTGACCTACTTTCCATGCACAGTTACGTCCCTTTGGTTTTTCTCTGAACAAAAAAAAATGCGAGGGCTTTGCCTCCACTTCGACTTTTAAACCTCCAAATAATGTACTTTATGACAATTTTGACCATCTCAATCACAGTAACACCAATCAAGTTTGATATAAACTTTATAAATAAACACATATATACATCCCACGGCTATTTTGAAAGAAGTGAGACCAATTTAAGCATGATCCTCGAAATGAGGTCACGGTTTCTCTCAAAAAGAGCCTATTTCATCGATATTCAATCGTCGCTCTGATATTCCTTTGACTCTTATAAGCAATGAAATGAATGACAGGTGTTCGAACCTCTTTCTGCTCTGATAATTTCACACTGAAATATATATGACTGTCATACATAAGAAATATTCGATAATATTCTGACTGAAGACTTGCCTTGAGCTCAGAAGCGTCCGCCATTGTTGCTTTGTGATGCGCATGCTCCAAAGAAAAATTGCCTCGTTTTCAGTTGTGTGAAAATGGCGACCAAGATTTGTACGTATCGCACTTGTGTTATTTGTACATGACCTTCATGTGTATTATCATCGAACAGTTAATTACTTGTGTGCTGTGTAGATGTTTATTTTCGCCATTCTATTACAGTAGTTCTTAAGCAAGTTTTAGCAAATCAAAGTCGTATTCCGTTGCGTAACACGTTCCTTTTACTAAAATGAACTAGGGCTTTTGAAGTAAACATGTGTAATGCACATGTGATGTATGTGTGTGCAGAAAAAATTACCCTAGTCTTTTCGTTATATTCTTCCCACTAAAACTTTTCACAATGGCTGACTCAAAATACTGAACGATCGTCTTTTTACATCATTTTTTAGCATACGATTATTGACAACGTTAGACCAACTCCATATTATCAGCTGATAGATTATAACGGGTTGCCGTGTGTTGGTTGCAACTTGCATAACCATATTTCTAAGAACAAGTTTTAACCAAATTGTATTTCCATTCTGACATTCCATTGATTCTTACCGATGTTATGTATGAAATGTCAGTACTACTTCCAAGGTAGTGGCGTGCTTTTCCTCCATAATTACACACATAAATATATCTGACTGCCATGCATATATGGAGGGTACAGATACATTTCACATTAGTTTATGTTATAACCATAATCTCTGCTTTATGAATGATCGCTTGTTTATAAATAGTTTTTTGCACCTCCACATATACATGACAGTCAGATATAGTTTGGTTCAAAAGTTTTGAGCATGAGAGTCAGGGACAGTTTTGTGCATGAGAGTCAGAGATAGCATATGTGTTGCTATTTACATATCTAGGTTTAAAGAAAAGTTTTATAAACAGGTTTAAAACCCTTAAAGTGATGATGTCACAACTTTTTTGTTTTTAATTTTTTAATTGTCAAATCAACCCAAGTTCAAAATTTATATTTGAATTACGACACAAAAGTTGACAGAAATAAAAAGTTGATGACAAAAATTTTTCAAAATTTTCAAAACAGAATCAAATACACATGCCTACATATTATGCCCATACTATTTTTCATGGCACATGTAACAAATAACAATTTCTAAAGCTATAAAACCATGTCAAAAGCAATTTTTTCTCATTTTGATAAAAGTGTGTTTGTAATTCTATTTTTAAGATGATGAAAGGAGGTGAAAAAAATCAAGTTACTGAAATGCTTAATTTTGATGTTTATATGTAGGGTGCTCTCATTGGGAAAAACAAATCATAATAGTATCTCATTGCTAGTTTAATCACATTTATCAAATTAAAAAATGTTTATTATGATATTGATGCATTTAAGATTGCTATATATGTATTCATCAATTCTCTCTTGCTTACAACTGCTTTATATAATGTACATCTGATGTGAGATGTTTAGAATTTTACGTATACTGAAATACTTTGGTTGGCTGTTTTATATGTAAAGTGTTATTACATGTACTTTATATGTTGAGGATTGTGTTTTACAGTAGTGTGGTTGCCTGGGAGGTTCCAGACCCTTGGTGCCCTCCTGAATCGCACATGGGCTCCTGCAGGATGTCAGTGCCGTGAACTCATGACTGACAGAAAAATAAATGACTTTAAACAAACTAGGTTTGTATGGCTACTGTAATACCAGTTTGATAAAATCAGCCAAGATCATTGATTTTCAGTTTAATTATACAACAGTTTTGTTTAGACATAAATACCTGTTACTGAATTCATACTTCAACAAGCCCAGGGAAAAATACACAAATGCCTTGACTATGCATAGTTGGCTCATCACACAGCAACAAAGTAACATAAGTCAGTAATTACCATATTTTCCTGGTTATAAGCCACATTTTTGTTTCCTTGGTCGTCAGATAGGACCTATTACATGTAGATATGGTATTCCTTCGTACATATTACATATCAATTCATTTAATGTTAAATTCCGGGTATAGTGTGTATGTATCTAGTATATTGAAAGAATTAAAGGAGAGCAATCTTATTTACATAAATAATTTTAATATCATCAGAGAAAAAAGTTATGATATCATTATTTAATTTTGCCCATTGTTATCCAAGGATCATGAAGCTTGTATATATTGGTCAGACTAAGACAATGTGTAATGTACCGAATTCAGAGCCTTCAGCCCCTCAAGTTATTGTCCATTGTTTAAATTTTGCATGCAGAGCACAGCTTTAAATTGCTTGCGATTAAACTAAGATAAGAAACTTGGTGTACACATTGATCATACCAAGACATTGTGCAATGCACCTAGGGCAAGTCCTGCAACTGCTCTATTTGATATCTAATGGCCTGTTCCAATTATTAGTTATTGTGCAAGAATTTGTCAGCTGACAGACAAACTCGTCACACTAGGTTTCAAAAGATGCAGGTTGATGAAAATTATGGGGAAGTTTTATGGTTGTCATAGTGATCTCATTAACAAATATTTTATTTCTTTGTGAGATATGAAGCTGAACATGTTTGCTTGTTGTTTCTGTTGATTTACATCTTGTTTATATTGAGAATGTGACATTTACTTGAACTGACCAAGGTTTACATGGCGGATGCCTTTGATAAGCAGAAGACACTTACTCATCACCTGGTCTTTTCTAATACTTTTTTAGGAGTCTCGGCGTAAATCTTTCTTTTGCTCATATTTTGCCCTAATTTTATTGAATTTGAATTTGAATTATGTTTATGTTGACATGTTGCTATTTTCTTGTTGTATCTTGCATTAAAACTAGAAAAATGAAACTTCATACCTTGGTCATACTAAGCGGATGTGCAGTGTATCAAATTCAGAGCCTGCAACCTCTTAATCTCAAAGTTAATCCCCTTTGTTAAAATTTTATGTCCAAGAGCATAAATCTGCTTTTATTTAAACTAGAATAATAAAACTTGGTAGATAAATTGGTGTTAAAGGATTTACAATGTACCAAATTCAGTGTCTAAAACCCCTTGATAACAGAATTATTGCCCTTTGTTAAAACGTTGTGTCCTATAATTCTTTTAAAGTAACATTTGTCAGTTTCACTGATACTCTTGTTTGTTTGTTTTTTTCTGTTGTTTGTCAAAGAATAGCATTAAATGTTGGCAAATTTTCAATTTTTAGAAGTCGCCCTTATGTTATATGGGATAATGTCATGCTTTACATTATATATTTTTTTTTCATTTTTGATTTTTTTAATGATCTTGTCCGGACCCTTGGTTCTGACTGATCTGTTTTAGAATTTGTGTGCTTTATCATCAAAATATATCACTTATTTTTTCTTAAGGTTTGTTTTAACTAAACGAGTCTAGGAAGAGTGTCTTATGGGGGTGTCTTTCAGTATTTTATTGTCTTTTAATCTCATTTCTCTATTTCAAACCAATCTCTTTTAAATATTGTATACTTGATCTATCCTCAAAGCACATGGCACTGTTGGTCTCTGTGACATTTTGGCTCAACAAGGTTCAAAAGAGTTATTGGCCTTTGTTCTTTTCAGATTTTGATTTTGTCTAAGATCCTTTCCCTCAGTTTTCAACCAATTTCATTCAAAGATGATAGTCTCAAATGTAATGACATGAAATTGTGCTAAATTGCTTCATTTCTAAACTTTTATTTTTGAAGATTTGATAAATGATGTTTTTCTCTTCTGCATTTGATGGGTATACTTTTTCCTTCTGGCAATACACTTGTTTCATTGTTTTTTACACATTCCCCAATATGAGTGTCTTTAGACACATGAAATCTATCAGAGGAAAAAAACACAGAAAAGGGAAACAAAAATAAGAATGCTCTTTAAATGTGTTTTGAAGATTGTTCCAACCACAGCAGCGTTTAACAATGGTACATGCCCCTGTGGTTCCAGCACCAGCACTACTTAAGTCTGTCTGAAAGCTTGTTCTATCCACAGGGGCATTTGACAATAGTACATGCCCCTGTTGTTCCAGCACTACTTAGGTCTTTCTGGAAGCTTGTTCCAGCCACAGGGGCAATTGACAATACCACATGCCCTTGTGGTTCCAGCAAAAGAAAGTGTATCAAGCATGACAGACAAGATGTTTCTTTTGCAAACTTTTCATGTGAAATAAAAAAAGATATTTGTAGAAAAAAACTGCAATCAAGAATTAATTGGTGGTTGATTTGTCTCTGTATTTTACAGTCTGGTTCCCTACAGAGAACAGAGTACATCAGTAACTAAAACTAAGGAGGATGCTGAAGTACAACAGACAACTGATAAAGGTGTTGTGAAACGCAAAAAGTATTCACCATTTTTGGAAACAAGTGGCAAGGCAGAGTTTGCGTTGGCACGTATGGATGACTTGGTAAACTGGGGGAGGAAGGTAAGCTTGGTATTTCATGTAATTCTGTAATGGTATGCCATGTTGAATTATTTTTCCTAATGAATCAGTAGTTAAAGATTCGAGACACAAAATATGCAAAAATGGCACTTTTTTCTCTAAGCTCACAGCATGGACATGTACCAGCGGTATATAGGAATACAGATCTTAGAGACACATTTTTTTTTTTACATAACTCAGAAAACATAAATTTTGACAGATTTTGAAGAAAAAAAGGTGTAGGACAAAATTAAATGGAGGCAGCTAGTTTGTTGTTCCATTTTCAGTTCATGACATAAAGTGATTGTCACTATCAATTTCTGATTGGCATAACCAATGGAAACGCTCCAGGGTATATTACAAGAATAATATATATGGAACAATATTACAAAGGCTAAATTACAGGCCGATAAGGTGATCAATTTAAAAGTACATACTGTGTTGTAAGAAAATATGTAAATATTCAGTTTAATATTTAATAGATGATAAATAGAGGATATGGTGAAATGCTTGCATATACATACCGGTAAATGAAAATAACTGAATAAAATACTAATGTATGCATGATGTTAAAAATACACAGTTGAAGTTTGTCCTTCATCAGTCTCCTCAATCTTATTTTAGGGTTCCCTTTGGCCCATGACATTTGGTCTAGCCTGCTGTGCTGTAGAGATGATGCATTTCGCTGCGCCAAGATATGATATGGACAGGTTTGGTGTAGTGTTTCGAGCCAGTCCTCGTCAGTCAGACTGTATCATTGTAGCAGGCACACTCACAAATAAGATGGCACCAGCTTTAAGAAAGGTAATATAACTCTTCCTTATCAGAATGAAATGTTCTTGATATAATACAAAATTTTCAGTCCGAACTCACTTAATCCTATCACAATCTAAGATATCAACAAAGGATTGATATTGAAAAGTGCTCTTTGAGTTGATGCAGCATTGTCTCCCCTTACCATTGTTTGTACAATGAATTTGCTAATCACAACTGGTTGACTTTGTAGATTTATGACCAGATGCCTGAACCTCGCTTTGTCATCTCCATGGGAAGTTGTGCGAATGGTGGAGGGTACTACCACTATTCTTACTCTGTAGTCCGAGGCTGTGATCGTATCATACCTGTAGATATTTATGTGCCTGGTAAGTGGACCCCGTTAGTTCGAGGCTGTGATTGTATCATACCTGTAGATATTTATGTGCCTTGTAAGTGGACCTCGTTAGTTCGAGGCTGTGATTGTATCATACCTGTAGATATTTATGTGCCTGGTAAGTGGACCTCGTTAGTCCGAGGCTGTGATCATATCATACCTGTAGATATTTATGTGCCTGGTAAGTGGACCCCATTAGTTCGAGGCTGTGATTGTATCATACCTGTAGATATTTATGTGCCTGGTAAGTGGACCCCGTTAGTTCGAGGCTGTGATTGTATCATACCTGTAGATATTTATGTGCCTTGTAAGTGGACCTCGTTAGTTCGAGGCTGTGATTGTATCATACCTGTAGATATTTATGTGCCTGGTAAGTGGACCTCGTTAGTCCGAGGCTGTGATCATATCATACCTGTAGATATTTATGTGCCTTGTAAGTGGACCTCGTTAGGTCGAGGCTGTGATTGTATCATACCTGTAGATAATTATGTGCCTGGTAAGTGGACCTCGTTAGTCTGAAACTGTGATCATAACATACCTGTAGATATTTATGTGCCTGGTAAGTGGACCCCGTTAGTCTGAAACTGTGATCATAACATACCTGTAGATATTTATGTGCCTGGTAAGTGGACCCCGTTAGTCCAAGGCTGTGATCATATCATACCTGTAGATATTTATGTGCCTGGTAAGTGGACCCCGTTAGTCCAAGGCTGTGATCATATCATACCTGTAGATATATATGTGCCTGGTAAGTGGACCCCGTTAGTCCAAGGCTGCGATCATATCATACCTGTAGATATTTACGTACCTTGTAAGTGGACCTCGTTAGTTCGAGGCTGTGATTGTATCATACCTGTAGATATTTATGTGCCTTGTAAGTGGACCTAGTTAGTTCGAGGCTGTGATTGTATCATACCTGTAGATATTTATGTTCCTGGTAAGTGGACCCTGTTAGTCTGAAACTGTGATCGTAACATACCTGTAGATATTTATGTGCCTGGTAAGTGGACCCCGTTAGTCTGAAACTGTGATCGTATCATACCTGTAGATATATATGTGCCTGGTAAGTGGACCCCGTTAGTCCGAGGCTGTGATCATATCATACCTGTAGATATATATGTGCCCGGTATATACTAGCTGAAAAAGAAACTGTGCATGGGTATACTATGCTTTAACTTGGTATATAAGAAATCGCCAAAAAATTTTCAAAAATGTATTATCTGATATTTATTCAACACTCATTTGATGTGGTTTAATGCATCAGCAGCGTCATGGATAGAGATCAGTTTTCACAGACATTCTCTAAACAAAGTTTACCCAATCAACTCAGTGTATGTCTACCATTGGAAACAATGCTTGACAAAGACAAAATTGATGGGGAATACCATTCCGTCTCCTCACAAGTGCATGTGACAGGTCAGGTAAGGTCAATGGCTGATTTGGGAGGCGATGTAAGCAATGCTACATCTCATCCTACACAAGGTCTATAGGCGACATATCTGGTGACATTGCAGGCTAGGGCAGCATATTCACATTATTCTGGATCAAGAGGTCAGTGATGGGCAGTGTTATCATGTTGCAGTGTGGCATTACCTTGCTGCACAAATGAAAGTACTCAAGGCTGGATGATTTTGATATCTGATGCCTGTAAGTGTGCTGTCCACAACAAGAACTGTTCTGCTATAGAATAAGATGACAACCCACACCACATTACTTCCGCTGAATGGACGTCGTTTAATCACACAACTGTCATGGAAATCTTCACCAACATGACAGTACACTCCAGAATGACCATTGCTGCTGTCAAGATAAACCTGGACTCATCCATGAAAAGAGCACATGCCCAGTCCTGCCGAGTGAAGTGTCGTCTACACCAGGCTAAACGTGCTACACGATGACATTGCCAGAGAATAGGATGTATGGCTGAACATCATGGATGCATGCCTTGTTCAAGCAATCAATAACATACTGTTCGGGTATTAACTCTTCTTAGGCCAGAAATACTTTTGGCCATTAAGTAAGCAGTTCTGTGTTGTTTATGGAGATGAAGAACCCAGATATATATATCCTGGGGATGTTACGTATGAACTTTCTGACCGAGACCAGTCTCCAGTGGTACCAAACTGTTCATTCACAGTTCGTCTTCCCAAGGTATCTACAGTATTTCAGTACACACCAAATTGTCTAGCAACATCAGTATGACATACACCAGCTTCAATCATGCCTATGATGCAGCATCTGTATGTTTCATTCAACCTTGGCATGGTGTATCAAAGACGTTGTAAGGAGAGGCATACACATCTTACCTGTGTAAAGTTTCAAGCTCTAATTGATAAAATTTGAGAAAAACATGAACATTTTACTCATGCATAGTTTCTTTTATCCGCCAGTATATATCTCATTGACCTGTACATATTTATGTTTCGCCTCAATCCCCTGATATCACTGACCTGTATATATCTATGTTTCCACACAATCCCCTGATATCGCTAACCTGTACATATTTATGTTTCCACATGGCCCCTGATATCGCTAACCTGTCCATATTTATGTTTCCACACGACCCCTGATATCAGTGACATGTATGGATATCATGGGCTGTACACTAATTCATGGTTTTCTTTGTGTTAACAGGATGTCCACCAACAGCTGAAGCTTTGTTATATGGAGTGCTGCAACTACAGAAAAAGATCAAGAGGATGACCATATTTCAAAAGTGGTACCGAAAATGAACCACTCCTTTTGTCAGCTTTCTATAAAACTTTTGAAAACAGATATAACACGTCCTTTTGTGTGTGTGTTTGAAATTAACTCTTCACCATTGAATGAAGAAATATCGTTTGCGTAGTCTTTTTTTTTTAATTTGTAAAAAGACACACATTTGTTTATGGAATCTGGCAGTAGTAAACGAATGCTGATTGACAGTTCTTGTGCAACTATGTGTACAGTATTGAAAATTTGGGTCAAATTTTTATATATATATTATGTATAAGATCCAAGAAATGACGGTGATTGTATTGTGTAAATAATGCTGATGTGTTTGCACATATCTGTCATTAAAAGTAGGAAATTGAAATGTTTGTAATCATTAAATCCTTCGTGCACATCACATGGGTCTTATTTGGTAGATAACTGGTCACAGAGGGTTGCACTGAGCAGTCACACAAGCTCCACATTGCCTAACGTCAGAACTTTCAGAGCCTGAAAAGTTAGTTATAGGCTGCAGCTGAAAAACCTATGATGATGAACCCTCCTCTCCAATGAGCTTCATCCCTTGGGTTCAACCTGGCATCCTCAACATAAACATTGTTACTATATAACGGTAACATTAACCCTGAGCTTTTTCGCCTGCAGATGTAAAAGTTAATCTTTGTACTCTGTTAAATACATCTCCGTGTGCTTTCCATGCTGTTTGAGGGCACCCTACAGCAAACCAATCCTATTCACTGCCACCAAATGTAGTGTTTTTATGGTAGAGGTACACTGAGCAGTCACCCATTCAACTACTGACCACACTTTGACATTGGAAATATTGACATAACATCTCATCTTTCAGGCACAAAAACTAGATATTGAACTAAGCTGAACTGCCTAAATGTATGAAACAACCACCACATTGTTTAGTCAGTAGCTTGATAAATGTTACTGATGATCATGTACACAACTAAAGGTGATATAAATTGCTGATGGTGATGTATACTACTGATGGTGATGTACACTACTGATGGTGATGTACACTACTGATGGTGATGTACACTACTGATGGTGATGTACACTACTGATGGTGATGTACACTACTGATGTATATTACTGATGGTGATGTATACTACTGATGGTGGTGTACACTACTGATGGTGATGTACACTACTGATGTATACTACTGATGGTGGTGTACACTACTGATGTATACTACTGATGGTGGTGTATACTACTGATGGTGATGTACACTACTGATGTATACTACTGATGGTGGTGTACACTACTGATGTATACTACTGATGGTGGTGTATACTACTGATGGTGATGTACACTACTGATGTATACTACTGATGGTGGTGTACACTACTGACGGTGATGTACACTACTGATGGTGATGTACACTACTGATGTATATTACTGATGGTGATGTATACTACTGATGGTGGTGTACACTACTGATGGTGATGTACACTACTGATGTATACTACTGATGGTGGTGTACACTACTGATGTATACTACTGATGGTGGTGTATACTACTGATGGTGATGTACATTACTGATGTATACTACTGATGGTGGTGTACACTACTGACAGTGATGTACACTACTGATGGTGATGTACACTACCGATGTATATTACTGATGGTGATGTATACTACTGATGGTGGTGTACACTACTGATGGTGATGTACACTACTGATGTATACTACTGATGGTGGTGTACACTACTGACGGTGATGTACACTACTGATGGTGATGTACACTACTGATGTATATTACTGATGGTGATGTATACTACTGATGGTGATGTACACTACTGATGTATACTACTGATGGTGGTGTACACTACTGACGGTGATGTACACTACTGATGGTGATGTACACTACTGATATATACTACTGATGGTGATGTATACTACTGATGGTGATGTACACTACTGATATATACTACTGATGGTGATGTACACTACTGATGATATGTATACAACTGAGGGTGATGTATACTACTGATGGTGATGTACACTACAGATGGTGATGTACACAACTAAGGGTGATGTACACTACTGATGGTGATGTATACTACTGATGGTGATGTACACTATTGATAGTAATGTACATTACTGATGGTGATGTACACTACTGATGGTGATGTATACTACTGATGGTGATATATACTACTGATGGTGGTGTACACTACTGATGGTGATGTACACTACTGATGGTGGTGTACACTACTGATGGTGATGTACACTACTGATGGTGATGTACACTACTGATTCTGATGGTGATGTATATGGTGAAGTACACTACTGATGGTGATATATACTACTGATGGTGATGTACACTACTGATGTATACTACTGATGGTGGTGTACACTACTGACGGTGATGTACACTACTGATGGTGATGTACACTACTGATGTATATTACTGATGGTGATGTATACTACTGATGGTGATGTACACTACTGATGTATACTACTGATGGTGGTGTACACTACTGACGGTGATGTACACTACTGATGGTGATGTACACTACTGATATATACTACTGATGGTGATGTATACTACTGATGGTGATGTACACTACTGATATATACTACTGATGGTGATGTACACTACCGATGTATATTACTGATGGTGATGTATACTACTGATGGTGGTGTACACTACTGATGGTGATGTACACTACTGATGTATACTACTGATGGTGGTGTACACTACTGACGGTGATGTACACTACTGATGGTGATGTACACTACTGATGTATATTACTGATGGTGATGTATACTACTGATGGTGATGTACACTACTGATGTATACTACTGATGGTGGTGTACACTACTGACGGTGATGTACACTACTGATGGTGATGTACACTACTGATGGTGATGTATACTACTGATGGTGATGTACACTACTGATATATACTACTGATGGTGATGTACACTACTGATGATATGTATACAACTGAGGGTGATGTATACTACTGATGGTGATGTACACTACAGATGGTGATGTACACAACTAAGGGTGATGTACACTACTGATGGTGATGTATACTACTGATGGTGATGTACACTATTGATAGTAATGTACATTACTGATGGTGATGTACACTACTGATGGTGATGTATACTACTGATGGTGATATATACTACTGATGGTGGTGTACACTACTGATGGTGATGTACACTACTGATGGTGGTGTACACTACTGATGGTGATGTACACTACTGATGGTGATGTACACTACTGATTCTGATGGTGATGTATATGGTGAAGTACACTACTGATGGTGATATATACTACTGATGGTGATGTACACTACTGATGTATACTACTGATGGTGGTGTACACTACTGACGGTGATGTACACTACTGATGGTGATGTACACTACTGATGTATATTACTGATGGTGATGTATACTACTGATGGTGATGTACACTACTGATGTACACTACTGATGGTGATATATACTACTGATGGTGATGTACACTACTGATGGTGATGGTGATGGTGATGTATACTACTGATGGTGATGGCAATGTACACTACTGATGGTGATGTACACTACTGATGGTGATGTACACTACTGATACTGATGGTGATATACACTACTGATGGTGGTATACACTACTGATGGTGATGTACACTACTGATGGTGATGTACACTACTGATGGTGATGGTGATGTACACTACTGATAGTGATGGTGATGTACACTACTGATGATCATGTACACAACTTATGGTGATGTATACTACTGATGGTGATGAATACTACTGATCGTGATGTACACTACTGGTGGTGATGGTGATGTACACTACTGATGGTGATGTACACTACCGATGGTGATATATACTACAGATGTACACTACTGATGGTGATGTATACTACTGATGGTGATGTACACTACTGATGGTGATATATACTACTGATGGTGATGTACACTACTGATGGTGATATATACCACTGATGGTGATGTACACTACTGGTAGTGATGGTGATGTACACTACTGATGGTGATGTACACTACTGATGGTGATGGTGATGTATACTACTGATAGTGATGGTGATGTACACTACTGACGGTGATGTATACTACTGATGGTGATGTATACTACTGACGGTGATGTACACTACTGATGGTGATGGTGATGTACACTACTGATGGTGATATATGATGTACACTTCTGATGGTGATGGTGATGTATACTACTGATAGTGATGGTGATGTACACTACTGATGGTGATGTATACTACTGATGGTGATGTATACTACTGACGGTGATGTACACTACTGATGGTGATGGTGATGTACACTTCTGATGGTGATGGTGATGTATACTACTGATGGTGATGTATACTACTGACGGTGATGTACACTACTGATGGTGATGTACACTACTGATGGTGATGTACACTACTGATGGTGATGTACACTACTGATGACGATGTTCTCATCCCAATATAAACGATTTAGCAGTAAAAGATCACGATAACAATTTAAGGAGTCTGGATCTATATAGATACGTTTTTGTGTCTCGACAAGAAGACTGTTGTGTTTAATTTTTGTAAACCTTTCGATTTCTTTGTACTCACGATCTCATTATGAAGTACGTCAATGTGATATTCGTGACTTCATCGACCGAGTTGCCATATAGATGGTATATTGCCGTGATATTTGAGCTGTATTTTGTTATCAGTGTATTTGTCTCAGGTCAGGCCAGACATTGTATAGAACACGTGGCGATTTCAGTTTCATATACGTTCGGTAAAGAAATATACATGTATGAATATCATGTAATAAAAAACATAATCATCATGAAAATAGAATTAATCAAACTCGAAAGGATAACAGCAGATCGACTGTAACAACGCTATACAGGTAAGTCTTTGTAAACTGAGACTTAACAGCACACGTAAGTCTTAACGGTTAGACTTAACAGCACACGTAAGTCTTAACGGTTAGACTTAACAGCACACGTAAGTCTTAACGGTTAGACTTAACAGCACACGTAAGTCTTAACGGCCTTAATAGCACTGGTATGTCTTAACGGATATATTTAACAGCACACGTAAATCTTAACGGTTTAACTTAATAGCACACGTAAGTCTTAACGGACTTAATAGCACTGTTATGTCTTAACGGATATATTTAACAGCACACGTTAGTCTTAACGGGCAATCTTAACGGGACACGTAAATCGTAACTCTTAGACTCAACAGCACACGTAAATCTTAACGGTTTAACTTAACAGCACACGTAAGTCTTAACGGACTTAATAGCACTGGTATGTCTTAACGGATATATTTAACAGCACACCTAAATCTTAACGGGCAATCTTAACGGGACACGTAATTTTTAACGGACTTAACGGGACACGTATGTCTTAACGGACTTAATGGGACACGTAAGTCTTAACGGATAGACTTAACAAATAGCAGTGTCACATCAATAAAAATAGCAACATATGAAAGTCTTAAATACAAGTGTCATTACAGGTTAGTCTGGACAAGTACATGTAGATCAGAGTGAAACATAAATTGATTTTACATCTTTAAAGGTGATAATCTTATATCATGTTTAATTGGTAGTTCTTAGCGATTGATTTATCGTCCCGTCGGCAGAATGAGGAAGAATGACTATGCATTAGATAAAGGCTACCTCACTGAACGACATACGGGAGGTAAGTCGGTTAGTATAAAATGTGGCCTTGGAATTCCTTTCTATTTACTTACCTTGTTTGCTTCGCTTAGATCCTACTCGAAAGTTTACAATTGGGTTAAAAAGTGAAAAATGACATTCCGTTTTTAAAATAGATATATTAATCCCATGAGATGTGGATTGATCAGAAAGACTTAAAAACAACACGTGATTTATCAGATTAATTAACTCTCTTGAATTAATATCAGTGACGGATTTTGTTTTATTATCATTATTCATTTAACTGTGCTTTAGAATCTTTTTAAATCGTGCTTAGAGAAACGACTAAGGACATATATCTTAGGTTAAGTTTTGAGAGAGAGAGAGAGAGAGAGAGAGAGAGAGAGAGAGAGAGAGAGAGAGAGAGAGAGAGAGAGAGAGAGAGAGGAAAACATGTTATGGGTGGAGCTGCACGGTACGAATCGGCCATGTGATGCAACGTGTCCAGTTAGACACGCACATTCACATCCCACCATTGCACTGTCCGCACGACCAATCGGATTGGTAACAAGGTCACGCGTTGAGTATTAATGCAAAACATGTTGTACGTGTGATGGACATCTCAGCATCCCTGTTTTCAGTCGCACTTTGATCTACTGGAAATCACATGGCACATATGTGTGCCCAGTATAACATACCTGAGGAGTAGTAAACGACAGTGTTAGTCATAAAGAGAACGCCGCCCCTGCAACATAGACTGGAAACATCCAAACTGGTAAGCCTTAATTTACAAATAGTAACACAGGTAAATCTTGATAGTTACAAATAGTGACAGGTAAAGGCGATAACAAATATATATCATATTCATAAAAATGAATAGATAAATGAAAATACAGATATATGTGGGTTTTTTCCTCTAATCTTTCATTTGCTCGCTTCCTCCATGTTTCATCTATTGTGATTATGTATGTTTAACTTGTACGGAACTGTGTGACATACCATAACAAGTTTGGAAAATACTGTATTATCATATGTTTTTGTGTGGTTCCAACAGACATATCGTGGACATTTCACTTCGTGGAAAAATACAGCTCAAGAAATCTTTAAAATAATTTTGATAGTTTGTGGACATATTGTAATCGTGGATTAAAAGTGCCCACGAAATAAACGAAAAAAAGAAATCCCCCGCGAATATTAATGACTTTACAGTATATACATATAATTCAAATAAGAGGAGCGATTTGTGTATCGTATATAGATATAAAAAAATATTTACATAGCAACTAAAATTCCAAATAACAACCGCTAACGTGTTGCGGCCATCTTCAGATTTATTTTTTGTTTATGTGTATATGTTTTTTTCTAAGTTTAAACCATATTTCACTTCGTTCATGTTATACTTAAGCGTAAGCACAAGAATACCAAAAAATAATTTATTAGATAAACATTTACTTTTTCTAAAACACAAGTAGTTATTTCTTATGCGATGTTTGATTGGCTTGAGAAGCAACGTAATGATTCGAGATTGTCACAAATTAGTTAGGTCGATAAATACAAAAATAATGTTGTTCAGTGAAGTAAGACTGACCTCCAACAGAAGTCATGATGTAGCGTGTTTAAAAGAACGGAATGGTTAATTCCACTATCTACAATACTATACTAAATCGATGTTTGCATCTTTGTCCACACTTAGAACATCCTAATACTATATACATATTGGTATACAGTTTCTAGTTTTCAACCTCAACTCTTGTTTGGTAGCTCCGCTGATCCTAGACCGAAAAGGGAAGGAAGGGGGAGGATGGATTGGAAAGGGAGCAGATATGTTCACCAGTCGATTACGTCTTGAGTTTTGTATGCTAACTTTTTTTCTCTTTGTAGAAAGAAAAATCCCACAACACAAATTGATGATGAACACCTGAACCGAACAACACAAGATCAGCTACAACATCCTTGCTTCATTACATGGTCCATTGCCGTCCTGTTACCAGTGGACAGAATAACTCGCGTATCAACGTCACCACCCAGCATCACTTGTTGCCGTGGGAATGGCCAGCCTGGTGACGGAAGCAACCGAAGTGGACACCAACACCACAGATATTTATGACACTTTATTTGACGTGAGCGCGTGCTCCACTAATGTCCCAAGCTATATATATGCCTTTATTGGTCTGGCATGTCTTGCTTTTATCAGCGTTGCCGTACTGGTCACTTCCAACTTTTTACAACGGAAAAAGCTTGGTAAAAACTACGTTGACATTATTTCTGGTTTTGCAGTAATTCAACTCTGTTACTGCATCGTGAACACACTAGTTATCTTCCTTCACCAACTTGGTCACTGTGGCTGGATACAGCAAACCAGCGGCGCGTGCAAGTTTATGTGGTGGTGGAAGCACGCGTCGTTCGTTTCCGGGAACTACATCCTAGTTTTAATCTGCACGTGCTCAAAACTACTGTTTGTGGCGGGAAAGACTGATACGCGTAGATCGCTACCAATAGTGATAGGTTTCTGGGTGATCGTTCTCGTGTCGTCACTGTTTGTCATCCCGTATCTGATATTCACAGAAGTGGTGAGCGGAAGTGCACGTATGGACTCGAAGATCATCAAAATTAGCTATTGTCACATCGGAGCTGGACACACCCGCCATCTTGAGATAATTGAATTCTGTTTCGGAACTGTCATACCCGCCCTATGTGCCTTTCTTAGTTTGATCCCACACTTCCTTGGTGCGTGGACGAGGTTCGACAAAGGAATTATGTGCTATTTCCGCCGCAACACAGAAGACAAACATGATGGCGACGGAGAGGTCGATGTAATGAAACGCCTGGACAGGTACTTCTTCAAATGTCTTACTGCGGCCGTGTGCATGCACGTGTTTCTTTTGGTCCCACAACGTCTGTTCGAGTTTGTAACACTTCTGAGCACGATGCCGTCAACTCTACCGACGGTCGGTGTTAAAAACACGTCCGCGATGAACCCTGAGGTATGGAACACTTTCATAGCGATGTTTACAATGTTTCCCCTAATCTACAGCATCTTTACTTTCCCAATATACCACGCGCTTGCCGGAAATCCTTTCAGGTGTTTGGCTTGCCTCGGTATGGAGAAACCCACTACTCGGCACCTACAGAGACGCAAGCCTGTACGACATGTAGCCGTCTCTGAAACGGCTAATGCCTACTTCCAGAGCGTCACATCAGATGAGTTCGCATCCAACTTCTAGAGATCGCGATAAACAATCTGATGACATTTTAAAAACGCCTGGTCATCAATATGCATGAACATATATGACACAGATGAAGTAAGAACTAAGAAGACCACCAACCGCGCTAGAACTTCTGCTTAGCGTGTGTTAGAAACCCGTGTGGTTGTTCTAAAGCAAGGACGACGATGAAAACGTCACCTGGACGTCAAAACTGGGACTTCTCTCTATGGTGCTATTCCACTCGATGGCTAATAGACTCTAAACGTGTCTTAACTGTAGCCATGGGAGCAAGTGTTGAATAATTCAGCTCAACGCAATTTGCATCCTTAACAAAATGGCGGCCTTCCCTTCACCAGAAACTTTGCTATATGGTGAGGAAAACATTTTAAAACTCATTGAATAAGAGATAGAAGATGTCGTCCTGTTTGAGTAATACTCTTTACAAGTTTATTATTTGGTTTGAGAGATTGTATTTGTAATCTACCCGTCGTCTGCTCTAAGTAACCCTGTAGCTATCAGCAGTTTGGATTGGCTGATGTTGACAGGTTACCGATTGTCTGTTGTGGTTGGCTCTGTTTACAAACTACCAATAGTCTGTTGTGGTTGGCTCTGTTTACAAGCTGCAAATAGCCTGGTCTGAAAAAAACCTGATATCAAGCTACCAGTAGTCCGGTATGGTTGATCCAGTTTGAAAGCTACCGATCGTCCGTTATGGTTGACCCTGTTTACAAACTACTAATACTATGTTGTGGTTGACCTTGTTTACAAGCTGCAAATAGCCTGGTCTGAAAAAAACCTGATATCAAGCTACCAGTAGTCCGGTATGGTTGATCCAGTTTGAAAGCTACCGATCGTCCGTTATGGTTGACCCTGTTTACAAATTACTAATACTATGTTGTGGTTGACCATGTTTACAAGCTGCAAATAGCCTGGTCTGAAAAACCCTGATATCAAACTACCAGTAGTCCGGTATGGTTGATCCAGTTTGAAAGCTACCGATCGTCCGTTGGACCTGTTTCAAACAACTTGTAGTCTGATGTGGTAGATCCTGTTTACAAGCAACCGGTCGCTTGGTGTGGTAGATCCTGTTTACAAGTTACCGGTCGTCTGATGTGGTAGATCCTTTTTACATGCTACCGGTCGTCTGATGTGGTTGATCCTGTTTACAAGCTACCGGTCGTCTGGTGTGGTAGATCCTGTTTACAAGCTGCCGATCGTCTGATGTGGTAGATCCTGTTTATAAGCTACCGGTCGTTTGATGTGGTAGATCTTGTTTACAAACTACCGGTCGCCTGGTGTTGTAGATCCTATTTATAAGCTACCGGTCATTTGATGTGGTAGATCCTGTTTACAACCTACCGGCCGTCTGGTGTGGTTGATCCTGTTTACAAGCTACCGGTCGTCTGATTTGGTAGATTCTGTTTACAATCTACCGGTCGTCTGATTTGGTAGATTCTGTTTACAATCTACCGGTCGCCTGGTGTGGTTGATCCTGTTTATTAGCTACCGGTCGTCTGATGTGGTAGATCCTGTTTACAAGCTACCGATCGCCAGGTGTGGAAGATCCTGTTTATAAGCTACCGGTCGCCTGGTGTGGTTGATCCTGTTTAACCTGATATTGATGATCCTGTTTACAAACTACCAGTATGGTTGATCTTGTGTACAATCTACCGGTCGCCTGGTGTGCTTGATCCTGTTTATTAGCTGCCGGTCGTCTGATGTGGTAGATCCTGTTTACAACCTACCGGCCGTCTGGTGTGGTTGATCCTGTTTACAAGCTACCGATCGTCAGGTGTGGAAGATCCTGTTTATAAGCTACCGATCGCCTGGTGTGGTTGATCCTGTTTACAAGCTACCGGTCTCCTGGTGTGATAGATCCTGTTTATAAGCTACCGGTCGTTTGATGTGGTAGATCTTGTTTACAAACTACCGGTCGCCTGGTGTTGTAGATCCTATTTATAAGCTACCGGTCATTTGATGTGGTTGATCTTGTTTACAAGGTACCGGTCGTCTGGTATGGTTAACACTGTTGAAAAGCTGGTTTGGTTGACCCTGTTTACAATCTACTAGTAGTCTGGTATTGTGGATCCTGTAAACGAACTATCAGTAGTCTGGTATGGTTGACCCTGTTTAACCAGATATGATGTATCCTGTTTACAAGCTACCAATTGTCTGGTATGGTTGATCCCGTTAACGAACTATCCGTCGTCTGGTGTGTTTGACCCTGATAAACCTGGTATGATTTTTCCTGTCAACGAACTATCCATCGTCTGGTGTGGTTGACCCTGAAAAACCTGGTATGATTTTTCCTGTCAACGAACTACCAGAAGTTTGTTATGGTTGACCCTGTCAGCAGTCTTGTCTCCATGGTCACTTATCAGTTGTTAGAACAGCCGCATACACGCAGAATTTTTTACGTTTAAAGTATTTTTGAACAAAACCAAATTGTGGACAACTTTGTGACGTTTATGTACATAAATGTAAATTGCTTATATTTTCGTCAACAAAGTGGATTTCCAAGAAAAAAAATATGATCGGAGATACCTCCTTTACTATGGGAAATCCCTCTTTTCTGATAAGCTGCCACATAATGACAAAAATAAAAAAAGAAATAATTGAAATGTTGTTATTTTATACCTCTCTACATGCTTTCCATACTAACACAAACTCGCCACTAGTTTAAATAAAAAACGAGGAGGAATTCAGGTTATCAATTCTATACATCAAACTGTAGCTGACATCCCATGATACTGTAATCATTTTGGTTGTTATTCGGATGTTTTCCCTTTAGAAAACGTAACCCCCTTCCTACAGGCTGACGTATAAACACTGTTTAGATAAACAGCGTAAAGACCTCTACACCAGTATATGGCTCTATCATTTCTGTCTTTAGCAGGAAATTTCGTTTATTATTTATTCATCACTTACAACCATCTAAAGAGGAGCTTTATTCCTAGAACTGACCTGACGTTGTGGTGGCCATCTTGGATTTTCGGGAAAAAATATCACGTTCGAAGAAATACAGAAAAACATACGCGGGTACCATTTTTTAAATATTCGTAGTGATAACAGGATCCAAATTTGATCTGTTTCATACTCGAGGTAAGTTTTATATAAATGTTGGGTTTTGAATCCACTGGGTGTAGAGAGGTGGGGCCCAAAGTGGAAATGATCACGGGTACAGGTCTGAAATCTATCTTTTTCTGGTGAATGAAAAGATTTTAACAAAATGTGATCTATAGCATCCTTTTGTAAAAACCAAGGGTCTTAAACTCGACTTCTGAGAGGAAGGTGGAGAGGCCTATGTAAGCGTTGCAGACCCTACGGACCTCTTGTTGTGTAGTACAATTGAATAATAAATTGTAATTATCTGTTTAGAATACTGAGTATAAGACATTGCATTTTTATACATACTCGTATGTGCAATAGAACATCGAATATAATACATATATAAAAGTACTCATATGTGTAATATACCTAGTATTCACAAGGCTCGTTCGTGCATTCACATTACAAATATACTCTTAATTGTCTCTATCACAATATCCACCGAGAACTATTGTAAGCATCGAGACACGATGAGCTAAAAATAGTCTGCAGTGAACTTGGTATAATAGAAAAGCGTTATACGGTAGTGTCATGTCGATGTTGATGACTGACATCTATCGTGTGAATATCCAGTCCTCACCTGTGGATTCCTGGGCATCTGACCCGCACTCACTAATTAGTAAATAGCTTATACCTGATAGGATCAGCAAAGTGAATCTTCCTCCCTATTATTATCTGTTTATAACACGATCCCAAGCAGAGGATTACTTCTATGTACTAACACGTCAATTATACTTATTAAAAAGCTGTTAGGACAGGGGTTTTGCGCATAATTTAAAATCCAATCTTTATATTTTTTCCACCACGATAATCGCATTCCAAATGAAATAAAATGTGGTGGGGACACACAGAATGACGTCATATCCGCCCTCCTTTACTACAGATCGAAGGTGGTTGGGGACACAAAATGACGTCATAGTCGTTCTCCTTTACAACAGATCGAAGATGGTGGGAAACACAGAATGACGTCATGGTCGTCCTCCTTTACAACAGATCAAAGGTGGTGGGGACACAGAATGACGTCATAGTCGTCCTCCTTTACTACAGATCGGAGATGGTGGGGATACAGAATGGCGTCATAGTCGTCCTCCTTTACAACAGATCAAAGGTGGTGGGGACAAAGAATGACGTCATAGTCGTCCTCCTTTACAACAGATCGGAGGTGGTGGGGAGACAGAATGACGTCATAGTCGTCCTCCTTTACTACAGATCGGAGATGGTGGGGCCACAGAATGACGTCACATCCGTCCTCATTTACATCAGATCGGAGGTAGTGGGGACACAGAATGACGTCATAGTCGTCCTCTTTTACTACAGATCGGAATTGGTGGTGACACAGAATGTCGTCATATCCGTCCTCCTTTACATCAGATCGGAGGTGGTGGGGACACAGAATGACGTCACATCCCTCCTCCTTGACATTAGATCGGGGGTGGTGGGGACATAGAATTACTTCATAGTCGTCCTCCTTTACAACAGATCGGAGATGTTTGAACACCTCCTTTCCCAAATGCTGTATCTGCCACCAAGCGGTTAGATTTTTGACAGAACTCCGTAGATTTTTATCTATCATTGGAAATACTCTTCAGACAAAATTTTAAAAGGAACTAATCATTGACGTGTTTTAATTTACACAATCATTTTTTAGAAGAATTCGAAAATTGATAATTAACAATGAAGATGTTAAACACTTGAAAACCATATCATCACAACATCAGTCATTTCTTTTACCTATTTACTGGGATAACTCCATTTAGATTTTTGAAATTGACATTGAACTTCTCTACACCTTGTAAAATCTTCCACATTCATTTTTCATATTATATTTTGGGTAAAATGTAAATAAAATCAGTAGTTAATGTATCATTGAAAAAATTGACAAATATTGAATTAATGGGTCTAGATATTATATACAGCTTAAGATTAACATTCCATATGAAGATGTATAGCCCTAACCAATATAGACATTCCATATTAACATGTATAGCCCTAACCAATACAGACATTCCATATTAACATATATAGCCCTAACCAATACAGGCATTCCATATTCAGACTAAGGTATTGACTTTACAATAAGAGTACGAGAAATTGATGAATGCTCTCCAAAAACAAACTTTTGAGGTGGGGCCCTCCTTGTGTATTTGGAATGAACTAGAAACTGGTGGTTGTCTCACTGAACATGTGGGATATCCATTGCATGTCATCCAGAGAGGTTATGATCTCGCTCAAGGACAGCAGACTAGTCAGTGGGCAGATTCCTGATTAACACAAACCATCATGTTTTCACAAGGTTATAAAGGCTCCGAGCTGTCATGGTCCCCCAGATTTATAGCCCTGGTTAATATTGAATTGTAGATTTGCTACATGAAGACAATTTGGCAAATTGATATCCCCCTGCTGAATGTGCAATTATATACAAAGAATGCAGTGAACCTATTCCCAAAACAAGAAGTTCCAGTGACAAGTAATGCTAGAGCCTGAACCATAATGGTGTAAGGAGACAATGGAAAAATATGTCTCCTCCCTATTATCACAGGAGGGACAAATAAGACTGGGGTTTAGTTCCAAGCATTCCTTATTCAGATGTATAGCCCTGATCAATAGATCTAGATTTGATAAGACTGAAAGTTTACTGTAGACATTCTATATTCAGATGTATAGCCCTCATCAAGGTTGTTATCTGTAGATCTAGATTTGATACATCAGACTGAAATTTTACTGTAGACATTCTATATTCAAATGTATAGCCCTGATCTATGTTATCTATAGATCTAGATTTGATAGACTGAAATTTTACTGAAGACATTCTATATTCAGATGTATAGCCCTGATCAAGGTTGTTATCTGTAGTAGATCTAGATTTGATAAAATATTGAAAGTTTACTGTAAGACATTCTATATTCAGATGTATAGTCCTGATCAATGTTGTTATATATAGGTCTAGATTTAATATGAGACTGAAAATTTACTGTACAGGGGTCTGGAAAAACATTTTAAACCACTAGACACAGGACTAGTGGACTGAAAAATTTACTCGTCCGGAATGGAAATTTACTTGTCCAAATTCAGCTATGAAATAGCGACAATCAGCGAGGATGTGACATGGGACTTTTTTTCTATTCCTAAGTTTTAGTGGAAAAAACTATGCAGTGATGGCTGCTTTGGAATATTTTGCTTTTGAAGTACCATAAACACTTTTGTTTTAAATTTTCTTTTCATTTTTATTGAAATTTATGTTGCAACATTAATATCATTGGAAAAAAGTACTTGTCCGATGGACGACAGACAAAGATAAATCTTCTTGTCCGAGACAATTTTCACTTGTCCATGACGACCAGATGAGTATTTTCCGGCCCCCTGCTGTAGACAATCTATAATCAGATGTATAGCCCTGATCATTGTTGTTATCTGTAATTTGATATCGCAAGACTGAAGGTTGACTGTAGTCAATTTGCTTGGTTGGTTAATAAAATCACTAATGTTGTTTGTTACCCTGTCATCTATTTTGTAAAATTCCAACAAGTTTTTTTGGAGTATATTGTCTAGTAATATAAAACAAGGAAAAAATGTATTCCCACATATTTATTAACAAACAAGTACAGTCTACTTGAGCGGGATGAATCGTGAGGAGTGAGTGGCACCAATACCAGGTCGACCGTGTTTTACAGGCTTGTATGTGATGCTGAACTCTCCAAGGTAGTGGCCGATCATTTCTGGCTGTAAAAAAAATTACAACTTTATGTGAAAAAAGACCAGTATTCCTAACCCCTTGTATCTTCCAATACCTAAAAAAATTCCTGTTTAAACAGTTACAAAAAAAAATCTGTTCTTTACATGTTTGTAGACTGTTGATTGACAAAAGTATGATTTCCAGGGGAATAACTCTTACATCTACCTGTAATTTGTTAACGAAATGGAAAGGTAATGCAAGTCCATGAAATATCTAGCTCACAATTATATCTTATTGAAATTGAATATATGCAATTATGTTTATATGTGATTTCGAAATTTTTTCTCCATATGCAAGTACATCTACATCTATGAATTTTGATCTTTCATAACTTATCAGTTCAGTGCGGAAGTTTTGGTTGTTATGTGATTAATGATCTTGTAATATAAACAAATCAGTGAAATAAGTAAGTAAAGAATCTTACCTTGACTTCAATTTGGTTGAATGTTTTACCATTGTATACGCCGATAACACTGCCGATCATTTCTGGTACAATGATCATGTTTCTCAAATGGGTTTTGACAACCTGTTTAACAGAAATTTAAGTAAAATATATTGTGATGTTTTGAGATATCCATCCAGTCCGATACAGGAAAACCATCTATGCAAGTATAGAAAAATGGGAACGAGTGCTTATCAAAACAATGGCTTGAAAAATAACAGCATTTTAATTATAAGGATGCAATGTAATCCGCCCAACAGCCCCAGAAGGTCATCCGCTGTTGATATATGTATTTCATCAAGCTGGCACATCTAATAATTCTAATCAGGCTTGAATATTTCTGACAGAAAATAAATTATGTCCAAAATATATTTTTCCTATGTAAATTACAGTAATTTTTACCTCCTACCCAGGGGGAAATATGTGACCATGGGGCCATGAAATTTACAATTTTGGTAAAGAATCTGAAGGCCTCTCCATTCTTAAAGGAGTACTTGATTCTACCATACCTGGGATTTGAGAAGATATTTGAAGTTTCAATCATTATGACCCTTTTTGGCCCTGCACCTCAGACCCAGTGTTTTCCCTAAAGCAGACTGCAGATTGACAAATCTAACTGGCAGGGATTCAAGGTGGGCCACCAAGGCCCCCTTTCAGGTACAAGGCAGTGCCCTGGTAGGGTGTCCAGGGGGACAAAGTCCCCCGACTGAAAACAGTTTTCAGATTTTCTGAAGGCAATTTGGGTCCTCCGGAAGGTTGATATTGATGTTTTTTAGAATAAAATCCGTCTCCAGATGACAAACTGAAGGCTCAGAAGCATTAAGCTTTTGTAATTTGTGGTGATGGAAGAATTCACTGAAAACTTTACAACAACAGACTAAATAAACACCTCCAATAAAACCAGATATGATAAGGTTTGCAATACGATGATGCTTTTGAGTGTAACAGTGAATTATCAAGCAAGAATTGTCCAATAAATCAATATTTTAGACCTTTAAATCGCTTTTCACTGATAAAAAAAAAACAGAAATTGTTGGTTGGCCTTGCAGAGGTAAGCTGCGCTTCCTCATGGCGGTGTTTATTCATAAATTGGGAAAGATCAAACGCTTTCAAACACTGCACAAAAAGGTCATTTCATTCAAGCGTCGTTGTAATTCAACTACAGACTGAACAGAATTGATAAGACGCTTTCAAACACTGCATACACAAATCGACGACACATTAACTTTGACATTCATTGTTATAATCATATGATTGTGTAAATGGCAGTAACTGTTCAACAGGTAACGACTTTAATCTGGGAAATTTTGTTTCGGTAAATATGTTTTTCCCCCTCAACCTCATGAATTTTAACCAGCAAATTTGGTGTTTTAAGCGATCAAATCGGCCGGCTGTCAGCTCTTAGGGAAAACACTGCAGGCCCCTGGGGTTGGGGACCATATAATTTAAGATTTTGGTGCGCCTTTAGCCATGCAAGGTTTTTGTAAAAATTCAAATCATTGAAATCTATGTAGGAGTATTCCATAAGAAGTAGAAAATGTTATAAGTTTAGGATGCACAATGCTGGACAAAAGAAGACTTTGACCAAAAAATCACTTATTGTTGCAGCAATGAAAACTTTTAAGACTTTATCAATACCATTTTAAAATTTTTTTTAACATATTTCTATATCTAAAATGTTAAAGCCTAGTCCTTTACCTCTGGCTTTTCTAAGGGTTTGGCCTCCTTTTTGGCCTTTCTTAAGCGCTTAATGAGTGCCATGGGCTTCCTCTTCAGACCCCTGGAGAACCTTCGGCGGGCCCTAGCTGAAAGCAACTCCATCAATTGTTCACTACAAAGAAACAAATACTGGTTATTTTTGTAAAAGAAATTTAGCTAAATCTCTACACATCATGTCTAGAATTTTATCATCCATTACCCGTTTTTTTCTAGAGACAAATCTTAACTCTTAAATACTATAATTTAAACCAAGCTTGCTTAAGAACTGTTAGAGCTGCTCAAAATAAAACCTGCAAACATACAATCTGTTAATTTGATGAATGTGTTAATTATAATTAGCACAGTGAATACAATGAATTGGTGAATAAATAAAACAGGTGTATGAAAGGGCTATTTCAGCACCAGTGATTACTGGTGAGTTACATTATTGATAAATAATTTTCTTTCCTTTGGTATAAAATTCATTTTTACTATAATGTCGAGAAACTGTCGCCACCAGACTTCTATAATGCCGATAAACTGTCACCAGATTTCATAAAATGATCAGATGAGTCTGAAATCAACTTCACAATGCAACATATAAAAGCAATGAGAATAGTGATCATTTACCGACTTACTTGTAGTTTAATACATCACAGCTCAAATTTTGTGACAAAAAGGGGTGTCATCTTTTTTTTTAACATAACCGAAAATCCAGTGTGACGTGTATATAGTTGCACAAGAAATGCTAACTTTGGTGTTAAAAATTCCAATATATAATGCCAACTTTTTTCTCCAATTACCAGTGTATAGCCAGCAGCAACATTAAGTGCAAATGTCGTAATAAAGCATGGATTTACCTGTGCTCTTTCTTCAGCCACACTTCAAGCAGTTGATACATAATAGAGGTTACAAAGAATTTGTACAAAAAACTGAGATAACTTAATCACCAACATTTTACGAAAATCAGACAAGATCTGGTCAAATTTCTTTTAAGCAAAATTACAAATCTGATGACAAATTACAAGTAAGTTAGTGAAATTAATGTTTTTTGTGCTTTCAGTATGTTGTTTTTAGTGCAAAAATTTATAACCTGCAATGAATGTGAATAGTGTGGTGGAAGCAAGCCAGAAGTGTTTCAGTAATGACCAGGATATCTTAACATTTTCTCTATATGCGCATTGTCAGAACTGACTACATAGCCAAATATGCCTATCTAGCCAGATTTGCCGGTGCTTGAGTATCTGACTTTTAACCATATGCAGGGATGTGCCCAACCTGTCAAAATCTGATAAATATGTAATCCATGTGAAATCGGTCCAGCATGAAAACAAGACGTGCATTTCAATGCAGAACGCTACATATTTACGTTTTGATCCATCAAATTATAAATCTAAATGAACTATGATGTGAAGAACATGATTTGGGCCTATAATCCTGCCTCCGTTATGTAGACCAAGTAGACGAGATTTACGAAACCGCTGCTAGCCTTCGGTCGTAAAACCATAACCAACATACCTAGACATGTCCAGCAGTTGGTCAAGATCAACACCCCTGAAAGTGTACTTTCTGAAAGTACGCTTCTTCTTCTTTTCCAACAAATCTTGGGTTTCTTGGTCAGCCTGAAAAGGATGAATATTAGCTCAACTCTTCATGTAAACAACGAAAATGTGTCGCTTCAAGCTCAATTTCTGTGTGTTTCAGCAGAACTTATGAAACTGAAAAGGCTATATTTGGGTAGTTTATTCAATCCTTTATTGAAATATAACTTTGATTGTTCCATAGCAATAACAGTAAGACTGATTTTATGAGATTCACTTTTCCGTGATTGAATCGCTCACCATGGTGGAAATTTCGACCGGAAAGAGAATTAGAGGAAGTTGGTATGCTTCTATTTCCCACAATCCCTATTCCGGATATTACAGAATTATGTCCCCTGGACAGGTGCGACAAGTGACATGAGGCGAAACAAGCAGGTGAGACCTGTAAACAAACACGTTAGTGGTGAAACAAACAAAAGCGTGCAGTCAGGTGTGTGGTGGGATAATGATGGATAATTAGATCAACGAAAACGTTAGCGACTACTTTCGTCTCCAGGTATTCTGTAACAGCATGTAGTTTAAGCTTTCAGATTCAATGGAGTTATCGTTGAGTCTGAGACTGTTCGAAGTAAGCTGGTACAAGGCGGGAGCAGAGACTAACGTCAGAATTGTTCCACTTGATAGACAGTATGTCAAATTCATTTAGATTTTCAAAACTTCTCCCGCGGTTTCTAAGGAGTGATAAAGGAAAATCGAACTCAAATTCTGACTGGGAATATGGTGGAGATAAACAGAAAGACGGACATGTTTGTAAAGTATTGTTCTTGGATGACACAGAGGTATTGCTCCCGTTTAAGGTAAGTAAATCTTGCAATATCGTCCACAATGAATTCAATTGATAAAATATGTCTCCTTTTAGGGATGCAAAGGTTTAATGCAAAATCAAAAGTTTGTAATGTAATTCTGCGATAATTAATAGGCTAATCAATAGTTTTTTTTCGATCAACTCGTCAATTTACTTCATAAATCGCTAGGTCAAAAGTGTTTTTTATAATTAACTTGTATTTATAGATATATGTGAATAATCAAATATTAAAATGACAGGATATCTATAAAAACTGTCAAACTGAAATTAATTTGTAAATCTAACATAATATTTTAGTGATGATCAAGGACACATTCTTCTGTAATATGAAAGACAGGCAACTTGCCATGTACAGCTGGTTTATTATTTGAAGTTATTTTGTTGACTGCACAGTTGACATTGTAAACAACTAACATTATAGAAGTAATTACTTATATACTGCACTGCAGATATTTGTCATAATAGTTATCAATCAATATTTCATGTTTTTGTAATCAACATTCCATTTCCATACATATGGGATGTGATGACAGGTTTATTTTAACTGGATGGGTGCTATTTAAACAAATTTCTTGAAAGCATCCAAATAAATTTGACCTATAATCAGGGTTCAAGGAGTCTAATGCCGTTGACATTATATGTTGGAACACTCAACAAACAATTCTGTTAAATTGAAAGGAAGACCTCATATCATATTTGGATAGCAATGTTCTGGGATGAAGCCCAAAAGTGTTTTAGAAAATTACCTTGGTTTATATTAATTTTTAAGTCAGATATGTTAAAACATTCAACTATTTTCTGATTAACCAAAAGGTCTAGTCTAGAAATAAGATACTGGTCTGGTAGCAATAGGTTACTGGGAGAAATCAAAAGATGTTTGCAAAAAGAAATTACAAGGTTGCAATTATTCCAAGTTTGTTAAACACTGAAAAATTTCTTTCGATCATGATTAACCAAGAGGCCTAGAATCCAGGTGTTTCACTGCATGTGTTAAACTTGTGAATAGGAATGACTTTGACAATTAAGGTCACAGGATGAATATGTACTTTTACTATACTGATGCTAAATTTGAAGTTGGTTTAGATTAACCACATTTGTAATTACTTTTTAAGTCAATGATCTGAAAAGTGAATATATTTGTGAAAAGTACAGAATGCCTTGTGAGAAATGGAGGCATATTGAGCCTCTTATTAAAAAAGCAGTGTAACAAATATTTCATCATAGTAAATATTATTATATTGATTTGATGAGAACTTTTTACCTTAATTATTTTAACTTAAACCAGAACTTTTACAAAGTACCTTAAGTGGCATGAAACATCTTTAAACATTCATGTACATTGTACATGTATCTTGTTTGTATGTACTGAAGCCTTGTCATTCAGCGATGAAAGCTTTAAATATCCAATTTATTTATACATTTACTCTTAAGCGTTTGTTTTCCTTTTAGTTAGTGTAACATGTACATGTCTGTGACAAAATAAAACTTTCCCACAGGTAAATCTGTCGGAGTTGATGAACCATTCACAGGATTTCTGTAATAGAAATACCTCTATTACAAAGATGTAAAATTTATCACAAGGATTATCTTATCAGTGTTACTGGCAGAGTGATATATACTTTCAGCTATTTAACCACATCGTTTTATTACTGATGTGAATGATAGTTCTGTGGTAGTATAGTTACAATGTCACTCAAAAAGATTCAGATCAGAATATAAATATCATTGAGTCATAAATTCTGGTAGCATCTAATATTGTGACACATTTCCTTTCCTAAAGACTTCTGTATATTACTTATACAGATTTGTACATATGATCATGCAGTTTTGTCATTCTTCATGTCATAGCCCTTCAAAATCAAGGCAAAAGGGCACTGGTGTATTAAAGGGTCACCAGGTAAAAAGACCTAGTTATAATTAATTCCATTGTCATCACTTCTGCAGGTATTTAAATAATGCTCTATGTTGTACCTGAACAATATTTTGACCATATTTGGCCCCAAAATTGATTCTAGCTTTTTTCGTGTTTGAAGCAGGTCATAATTTGACCAATGTCAGGTTCAGGTGAGTTAGCAACACTGTCTATGACATTAATCCTACAATTTGATCAAGGTATATATTAGTTCATTCCTTTACCACATCTACAAAAGCTGCTTAATTATGTATTTTTTTTATGATAAATAAAAGACAATAGTCAAAAGTCCAAATATTGATATTTTTCAGTGTATTCAGTTGACCTTTGACATTTGGCAATTTAAGATAACAAATCAGAAGGGCCACAAAATGTGAAGAACATGTCCCTTCATATTCAACAGTCAAAACTCAATTTTGGGAGTCAAAACCATATTCTTAAGGGTCTATATTGTCTCAGATTGTTCAGTCGTGATGATGAAATGTTTTGTACTACAACAAAAATTGGATATGTATTCTCCATCACATGATAAGCAAGGTTCATTTAGAGCTGCCCTGAGAAGGAATCCAACAACTCAAATCTTCACATGAATTATGATGGGTATTCTCTATGTAGTTCCATGCATGGGAATTGATCATGCCTGTATACATGTATAATCATGTGACTGATCTGTGTATGTTAGTATAATCAAAGTATGATGTCACTGTTACATATTCAGGTGCTGATTATACAAGTACAGTATGTTGTGGTATCAATGTATTCAGAAATTAACTTAAGAGGTACATGTAGGTATAAATTAGGATTGCCTAATTCCATTTGATAATCTTAACTAATTATGCTGTTAGTGCTTGATGGAAAAGACAATAATGATGTACTACAAGTGCTGTAGGCTGAAATGACAATAACCATGGTTAATTTGTTATGTAATGTTAAATAATAATTTCAGTAAGATATGTAATTCATAATAATGTATTTCCTGCCTTTTTAGGAATACTTTTAAGTTTCTTTGCTTGTTAAAATCATGGTTCTCACACTAAATCCGTACACATTACTACTGGGCAATGTAATTACCAGGTAATCTTGGATACATTATGCATGTGATGCCAAATATGTACACAAAGAGAAATGAAAAAAATGTACTAAAGGATGTAGTGGAAAATACAGTATAAGTGGGATACCTGTAGGGTATAAATGGATATTACATAGCAACATTAATTGTATCTTCAGCACCAGGAGAATATCATACTATCAGTAAATGTAAAACGTTGTCAAGATGGTCCTACATGATGGCCACTGCAGTTAAAACATCTAATAATTAATAAAGAAGATAACTAATCTTGGACGTTGAGAAGCATTTTATCCACATTTTATGTTCACCACGTAGGAAACATCTCTGTTGAATACTCTAGGGTATCTATCCAAGAAGATACTGAAATGATTGAAGTGTTAGTCTTCTTGTAAGTTTATAACTAAATGTGTAAAATAATTATAATTATTTTGTCAATTTACTTGCTATATGGAATAAGGAAGTTCATGACACTACAGTCAGCTAACTCTCTTATGAAACAAAAACTTGATCGATTTCAATATGTTTGTATTTGTATAAATTAATAGATGTTTTGATTATACAGGGGAGTTCCAAGGGAGCAATACTATTGGAGGAGGTATTCAGACACCTAAACCTTGCTGAGAAGGACTACTTTGGCTTGAGATATCTAGACTCCTCAGATCAAACAGTGAGTTTGTAATAACTTTATAAATAAATCAGATGTAGGTTGTGATTTTTAGCTGACTTTTTAGGTCAATTTCTTGTAATCTAGCATGTACTGTATAATCCTTCTGTCTGATACTCATTCTGTATGTTCCAGATTACATCAACATGGAACCTATTTACATAGATTTAAAATCAAGTAGTCTGGATTTGCAATTTTAATACAATATTGTTTATAATGCGTACATTGTTGTGAAGGATGTTAATATCAAGGTTTGCTGAAAAGTTCTTTATTGACTATTGTGTTGTACTCTAAAACATACTGGTACTTGTATGTACAGGTGTAGGATATATTACACTTTGTCATTTCTACACACCTTCTGGTTGCTTGTAGCATTAGAAATTCTATGCAGTATTCTTACATGAAATTACTTATGTGTCAGCTCTGTGAAATGAGATTGGCCTCGAGTGATTCAGCATTGTGTAATATCTATTTCTCTCAAACACTATCACAACTCAATCTTGTATCCATCAATACTCCTTGTGCAAATATTTTTAAAATCTACAGCAAGTTCAACCTTAGCCTCAAACATATTGTTTTGGTTTTAAAGTCTTTCAGATTATTGCAAGTATCTCCTTGATCAAATGAAGTATTAATGTCCACCTTGCCTTAAAAGGAGTTAGACTTTGTTAGGTCAACTATAGTCCTTCTGTTAACCCATGCATTTTGGTATGTGGGTTTTATAGTATTGTGTGGACAGAAGGAGAATAGGGCGACAGATCTTACGTCTGTCGACACTTTATTTATCTGTAGGAGATTTAGAATCACAAATACTACAGAATGTGTAATTGAAATAATTCCAAGGTTTTCAATACTCAAGGCTTAAGAGCACCTGTTGTATAAACAGTAACTAAAATAGTCTGTACACTTGTCTTGATATTGTGTACTGGAGAAGGTGAGATCAGGGTATTACTGTAAACTCATTTCTGTCTCATTGTTGAAAATCATACCCCTTATGGTAAAGGTTTTACAACAGGGTACAATATTTCAGTGACAAAGTGAGTCGAGGAAGAATAGTGTGCCCCTATCCTGCCAGGTGACCTGCCCATCTACACACCAAGCTGCAGGATACCTTTGATATTTGAAGTAGATAGCTGGTATTAGGACAACATTGATAAAGCACATCTGTTGAACAGTATGCGTATACAGTTACACATAAATCATTAACAAATACAACGGCTGTGTGTTATACCGATTTACATCAATTATCTTCTATCATTTTGTTTTCTAAACAAAATTTTCTGAGTATTTAAATGGAAGTGGAGCAAAACTGGTTCATAGCTGATTTGGGATCTATGGAGTTAGAGGTTGTTTTGTTGTATTCAAAGCGTATTGTTGAGTGAATTTGAAATCATCCAAGCAAACACAAAAATGAACCATTAAAAGATTTTTCTGGATATAAATTAGATTTACATATGTAGATTACAAAGCATTTGCATGTGACATTGTTGAGAGTTAACAAAGAGAGCGGTAAAGTACAGTTATAGGAAGGGATTATGTTGTGGGTTATCAAGCTACCCTCCAGACACAAGACTCCTGTAATGAGATGCATGCGAGGTAGTATTTCAAGTATTATACACAAAGATTTAAAATGCTATCAATCACTGGGTAGTCTTCTCCAGCTTAAATATCTAGATAAGATCTGAATGGTGTAACAGGGCGTTTACTGGATAATTCAGGAACCTGTAACTGGGTAAACACGGTAGGAACTTCGCTGTGAGCTGTGTCCCACTTTTGGATGCATTATAACATTATATCTATATTCTGAACATTACAATGTACCTTATATTAAACAAACATATGATGACTTATCTATTTATCCTGCTGTAAACCCTGGAGACTGACACTTAAGCCCTGAGTCAGAAATGGGCATATTACTCGATAATGAAGTAGATATAGTTTAATATTGCTAGATAGAAATGTAAATACAGTATATTTTTTTACTAATCCTGACACTTCATGGGAGGGGAGAGGGGGGGAGGTTCAGGACTTTGATTATAGTGACTTCTGAAGCCAGGGATTTTTATCAAATGATAAGGTCAGTTGGGGAAGAGTTTTGATGAGTTCATGTTTCAATATTAATTTTGGTTCCGAGAAAAGATCAACAAGGTGACAATATACTAGCAGCTTCATTTCATTAATTTTGACTAGACTATATTATATTTCATAGAAAATGTAGAAAAATTCATGTTTAAGAGTCAAAGGCCAGGTAACCACTAAGAATTTGTCAAACATTTATGATCCTCGTTAATAATAATAATGATGAAAGTCTTTATACTTGATAGCAAATTTGGGTCAATGACTCGTATTACAATTTGGTCAAGTGTTTATTAAAAAATATACAATATTTACAAAAAAATTATTTAGATAATCTTCTTGGTTGCAAGGGCATGACATTTTCTATTGTCAAACAAAATTCCGGTGAAATAAGGTAAATGTGCTATAAATCACAATAAAGAAACAATACTTGAAAACATGTATGAAGAAAGAATTGTTGATTTTATAGGAAATTTAAAAGAAAAAATTGTTTTTAAACATGAAACTTTTCCTAAATTGTGCAGTATCTAGCATATAGATTGCGCTGTAGTTCATGAAAAGGTACTGAACTAAGGTATTTTGATGAGGTTGAGAATATCTTTTAAATGGTAATTTATGCTCAGTGTGTATAAGTATTTATATACATACATAAGTGGGTAGCAGAATTATTACACAATTTAGGTAGATTTTTTTTATTTAATGGGTAAAATTCCAGACAAGATCAAATTGGAATCTATGAAGTGTTGACATAGCAGGACCAACCACAGCATGTTGTAAACAGCTAAGTGTTGACACACAATGTAGGCTTATTGACTCAAGATGAATGACAGGATATTTCACTTAATCGCAAATTCTTGTACCTTTGTATGCATTTAACTTGAGGACAAGACAGGTAGTAAAAAGACAAGCACGCATGTATGTCAGAGGTGTTAAGATCTTCAGATCACTTATTCAGTATAGACTGGTGTAATTAAATTAGTTACCTATTACCTGTAAAGTAAACCAGTAATAACGGCTATTTTAATTCCTAAACATTAAATCTCTCATAAATCAGGCTGATGATTGATATAATGGTGCAAGTATTTATCATAATTACAGTGTCCCTCAGAACCAATTCTGTGATTGTGAATTGATGATTTTATATAAATATGGTCATAATTTTCTCTTAAGAAAATATATTCTTAGTTTTGAATAAATTATCAAATGTCTAAATAATATTATGAATTATGTTACTAGAAAAATTATGCAGGTATCGATCGCCAGAGTAGGAAATGTTAAATATGTATGCTTGTGTGTACAGATCTAAGGGTATACCAAAGTTGGAATTTTTACCCTCTTCTGATGTCATGTTAAACAAATGATTTTTTATTTGAATACATGTTATGTAAAAAATAGTGATATCCTTAATGTGTACAAATATAGATAAGCTAAAATATTGTACAAAGCATCAAAGCTAAGTCAATATTCTCAGGTAACGGGGTGTTAATGCTTACTTACAAGGACATTCCTAAGTTACAGTTAGAATGTTCACAGGAAAAGGACTCTTTATACATTTGTGTGTATTCAATTGCAATTGTTCAAGGTTAAGTCTGAATATTGGACATATCTACCTGTCAACACTTAAACACTTTAGCCAACAGCAATAGATTAAACAAAAAACACATTTACTGTGATGGAGTTTTGAATTCTGTTATCTATTGGCAGTTATTTGTGATTGATACAGATCGACAAATTCAATGAACAATTCAGAGATAGGTTATGTTAAGGACCTGCATATTATGGTCTCCTAGGTATGGAATTAAGAATTGGCTTTGTATAATTATGTGTAATTATCATGATTAATGATGCATGAATTGGATTTTGTGTTTCAGCATTGGCTAGATAACCAGAAAGGCCTTTCATCACAACTGAAAGGTAAGGTTATCAATGTAAATTCATGTTTACGCTCCTTAATTTACATTTGTACTTATTGATTGTAAAAGCCCAGTCCTGTGAATGTGACCATTGCCTCCCCTTCTCTTGTAGTTCCACTCCCCTGGCGGCACCCCCCTCCCCCCCCCCAGGCATCCAGTTATTTCTAACTTGGCATATATAGCCTATATTCAATCCCCCTTTCCAGGCACATTGTATCTCTCATTCCAGTTGTCCTTTTGTAATCCTACTGCACCCCCTCCCCCTCCGAAGTCACCTTGCATCCCCTCCCAAGGTACAACATGTAATCTGTATTCCCTTCTCCCCAAACACCTTGTAGTTTCACTCCAAAGTCACCTTGCATCCCCTTCCAAGGTACTTGTACTCTGTAATTTCCTTCCCCTGGGCACCTTGTATCTGCCTCCTCAGAAGCCTTGTATTAATTCTCCCCCATACTCCCTGTATCCGCCATTCTACAGTCACCATGCATCCCCATCCATAGGTACCCTGTATTAACCCCTCCCCAGACACCCTATATTCCCTCGTCCCACTCATAATGCACCCACTCCCCTAGGTACCCTGTATTCTACTCTCAGTCACCTTGCTTCTCTCTCCCATACTACCTCTTGTTCTCTCTTCCCAGTCACCTTGAATCCCCCTCCCCAGTCACCTTGTATCGCCCTCCAAAGTGCCCTGTATTCACACCTGCCTAGTTACCATTCTTCCCCCTCCCTTAGTACCTTGTGATCCCCCTCCCTTAGTACCTTGTGATCCCCCTCCCTTAGTACCTTGTGATCCCCCTCCCTTAGTACCTTGTGATCCCCCTCCCTTAGTACCTTGTGATCCCCCTCCCTTAGTACCTTGTGATCCCCCTCCCTTAGTACCTTGTGATCCCCCTCCCTTAGTACCTTGTGATCCCCCTCCCTTAGTACCCTGTGATCCCCCTCCCTTAGTACCTTGTGATCCCCCTCCCTTAGTACCTTGTGATCCCCCTCCCTTAGTACCTTGTGATCCCCCTCCCTTAGTACCTTGTGATCCCCCTCCCTTAGTACCCTGTGATCCCCCTCCCTTAGTACCTTGTGATCCCCCTCCCTTAGTACCCTGTGATCCCCCTCCCTTAGTACCCTGTGATCCCCCTCCCTTAGTACCCTGTAATCACTCCTCCTCCAGCACCTGTATCCCCTCTCCCTAGTAACCTTGCATGTCTTTCCCAGGTAGTCTTTTTTTTCTCATCCCTCCCTAGGTGCACTATCTCCACTCCCCAGTCACCTTGCATGTGCTTCCCTTAGTACTCTGTATTCACCCCTCCAAAGATACCCTTTACCCCCTCTTCTGTCACCTTGCATGTGCTTCCCTTAGTACTCTATATTAACCCCTCCAAAGATACCCTTTACCCCCTCTTCTGTCACCTTGCATGTGCTTCCCTTAGTACTCTATATTCACCCCTCCAAAGATACCCTTTACCCCTTCTTCTGTCACCTTGCATGCCTTTCCTGGGGTACCCCATTATTCACCCCTCCCCAGGTACCTTGTACTGTCATGTCCTTGACTCATATTTTTTCCTTTGGGACTTCCTCAAATTTTAAGAACCCACTAAAGAAAAATTTTAAACAACATGTCCTGGAGTGTACTTAAATACATGAAGCAACTGACTTGTTCAATACTTGATTTGGCTAAAGTCATCAATAAAGCAGTCTAGAACTGACACATAAAATGCAGTTATCATGAGTATGACTTAGAACATGCACTGATTGGGAAAGACTGTGAATGCATGAAGAGTGCTATAAAATGCTCTCATGGATAAAAGTGACATACTGTTTAGTGTATAAAACAGTCTGCTGACACTTTAACTGAGAGCTCAGTGAAGTGATATATTTATCTCTGTAACATAATGCCCTTGTGCCTCACTAATTGGTTTTTAATTGATAGACTGATTTGTATCAATGTTTGCCAGAAGCAACGACTTCTGTAGTGGTATTTTTATCAAACACCTGACTTATCCATTTAATCATTGTGAATATCCCACTAGATATCTAATAACCAAGTTCCACATTGTACACTTTGAACCCAGATCTGTATAACATTCCACACTACACATTGAACCCAGATCTGTATGACATTCCACACTATGCATTGAACCCAGATCTGTATGACATTCCACACTGTACATATTGTACCCAGATCTGTATGACATTCTACACTGTACATATTCTACCCAGATTTGTATTCCACACTGTACTCAGATTTGTATGACATTCCACGCTGTACATATTGTATCAAGATTTGTATGACATTCCACACTGTTCATATTGTTCCCAGATCTGTATGACATTCCACACTGTACATATTGTACCCAGATTTGTATGACATTCCACGCTGTAAATATTGTATCAAGATTTGTATGACATTCCACACTGTACATATTGTACCCAGATTTGTATGACATTCCACGCTGTACATATTGTACCAAGATTTGTATGACATTCCACACTGTACATATTGTACCAAGATTTGTATGACATTCCACACTGTACATATTGTACCAAGATTTGTATGACATTCCACACTGTACATATTGTGCCAAGATTTGTATGACATTCCACACTGTACATATTGTACCAAGATTTGTATGACATTCCACACTGTACATATTGTACCAAGATTTGTATGACATTCCACACTGTACATATTGTACCAAGATTTGTATGACATTCCACACTGTACATATTGTACCCAGATTTGTATGACATTCCACGCTGTACATATTGTACCCAGATTTGTATGACATTCCACGCTGTACATATTGTTCCCAGATCTGTATGACATTCCACACTGTTCATATTGTACCAAGATTTGTATGACATTCCACACTGTACATGTTGTACTGGGGTATTTATATTTTTAAGACATTTCACACTACATATTTTACATTCAATTACAGGCTGTTCTATACCTTATCTGTTGTACTTTGGTGTCAAGTTTTATCCAGTAGACCCATGCAAATTGAAGGAGGAAATTACAAGGTAGGTTTATGCACTTAAAAATGTTAATATGACAATAGATTTGAAGGTAGTATGTCATTATAAAATGTAAAGGTTGTATTCAATCTTGCTGTGGAATCACTCTTGTTTCCATAAGAAAGGTAGTACAGGCCTATTAAACACATATCCTAATGTCATTTACAATCACCCTCCATATATATCAGAATTACATGTACTGGTATATAGAGGTATATAGTACTTAGCATGTTAACTTTGTCTCTGAATGAGAAAGTCTAGAGATTAATCATTGTTTGATGTAAAAAGCACAAATACAGACTTGTTTAATGCATGTTTCACTTAATTAGTTATTAATGAATGTATACATTTTTTTGTTTGCTTGTAGGTAACTAGAAAGTCATTTGATGAAATTAATGAAGTATGAGTTAACATACTTAATCTTCATTACATTTTATAAATACAGAATTTCTGTTGATATTTAGTTAACTGGACCTAGTCCCTACTTACACCATGAGGTTGAGACTTAATTAAGAGAAGTTAAGTGTATGACTGAAGACAGGCTGTGTTTGTTAATAAATCTGCTTTGATATTAGCCATTAACAGCTCTTACTGATACCTAATAAGTTGCATGTTTTAACAAATAATATCGCGATTCTGATACTCAGGTAAGACTTGTTATTATTTGGACAGGTACCAGTTTTACCTGCAGGTGAAACGTGACATTGTTCAAGGTCGCCTTCCAGTGACCTTCGAAGAAGCTGCTGAACTCTTTGCTTATGCCATCCAATGTGAGTGAAAACCAACTGTTGATCAACAGGACTTTTGCATCAAGGATGTGTTTGGATGTGATGAGGAGTCCAATCGGACAAGCTTTGATTAAATTTTGATGGGGAGTCCAATGAAAATGCTAGATAGATTGAAGTCACCACTGCTTGATGTTAATGTGCCTTTGCTGTAGCATAGATAACTTTTGGCATATTTTTTCACTTGAAGTGCATGTTTTCACAGTAGGCTTTATGTTAAATGAAAAAAATGATGGGGAAAAAGGTCTGTTGATAAAGGAGTGAAATTGAGTGTAGTTTCATACTCTGAAAGCACATTATTTTGAGTACAATTTATTTTGTCACAAATGAATTTGTAATATCTAAAATATGTTTGTAGCGGAGTTGGGAGATTATGACCAGCGACTGGCACAGGGTTATGTGTCGGAGTTTCGTTTTGTGCCCAACCAGACAGAGGAGTTGGAAGATACTATATCAGCTTTACACAAACGTCTAAGGTAGGTAACTCTTGCCTGTTCCCAACACTTCATCTCTAGAGGAGTTAGAGGATAATATATCAGTTTTGCTCAAACATCCAAGGTAGGTTACCATTGTCTGTTCCCAACACTTCCTCTCTAGAGGAGTTAGAGGATACTGCATTAGCTTTGCTTAAACATCTAAAGTAGGTAACTCTTGCCTGTTCCCAAAACTTCCTCTCTAGAGGAGTTAGAGGATACTATATCAGCTTTACAGAAACATCTAAGAAGAAAACTATTGCTTGCTCCCAACACTTCCTGTGTCCCCAGTATCAAACCATGATACATACATTCATTATACTTTGTTATTTCAAGGCTTGTCCTAAACAATTCTCAAACTTTGTGATTCCTTCAGCAGAGCCATAATCATTAAGTATCTCTCTTTATTCATTGTCATGTGGTAAAAAAAATTCAGTGTTTATATATTGTCAAAAAATAGTAGATCACATGTCAGAACAACCAATCTGTGCATTACTAATTATGTCTGGATACAGAATCAGTTATCTGTTTTGGATATAAAAGGTTCTTATGCAAACTAATCACTTATGTATATGTTTAAAGTGGTCTTCGACCTTACCAAGCAGAACACAAGTTTCTGGACAAAGTAAAATGGTTGGACATGTATGGAGTCGACCTTCATCCAGTAATGGTAAGAAATGATATTTGTATTCTTTTCATAGTCAGACATTCGTCATGAGGAATATGTATATAACATGGTAGCTAAGGTGCTCTGTTCCAATACTTTAATTAATTACAGTTATAAATCATCTTTTCTAATTTTAAAGTTTTCATTTTTCTGCTGTACATTGACTTGCTATATTTTAATGGAATAAATTGATTCACAAGGGATACAAACAAAATGCAGAGGGGCACTGTACATGATTTTTTAACTGGAGTTGGGGGGCTATGTTTTTGCACCTTTGTCTGCCCATCTTTTCGGCCTTCTGCTATCTTATCAGGGCTCTATGGCCTTTACTTCCTGTCACTGAATTTCCTATTTTGGGTATGGGTTCACCTCGGTAAGGTGGAGTTAAGTGTATCAAAATTAGGCCACTCTGGCCTACATTTTAACCTTTGACGTACATCAAAGAAGAAGTTTTTCAATGCTCTATCTTCTGCCCCACTAGTCACTGAAACTTCGTACTTGGGGTATGGATTCACCTCGAGGAGGTGACATGTCGGTGAGGACTGTAATTTGCCCAATAGACTTGTTAAGCTACATGTACATATTGTATATTATAGATATAAGAAATATTTACCTTCTTCATCTATTAAGAGATAAACACAAGGAAAAGTTATCATGCTGAAATAACACCTTAGCTATATTACCTAACATCTGTTTGTTACTGACCTTCACTCTATTTGTATGTATCTAGACCATCTCCACTGTACGTAAATAGTCATCACACTTGATTTTTGCAGGGTGAAGGAAACACAGAGTATTTTCTTGGACTAACACCAATGGGGATTGTAGTTTACAAGAACAAGACGAAAGTGGGCAACTACTTTTGGTAACTATTCAAACATTTAAAATTTCCTTTGAGATTTCAGTTGTGATGCTAAAATAAATTTTCTTCTCTTGTATAATCTCATTAATGCTCTGTATATTGTATATATATGAATTTTATTTTTATATACAAAAACAGCTCTTAGTAACTTGTAATGGACGAGGACTATTTATATGGGTGAAATGTGTTACTTGTTTGATCTTTCTTTATAAATCGGTTTTGGCTGCCAAATACCCATTTACACACTGATCTTACCTTATCCTCCATTTGATTTCAATGGTTTTAATTGAAGTTAATAGAATTGACCTTTGCATGTCAATTTATTTGATTTGACTTCTGAAGCTATTTAAAATTGTTGCTCTATACATAAGGAGCTTAGGACAATACAAATCTGTAGTTACTGATCACTATTAAACTTAACTTGAAAACACTGATGATTCTGACGAAGTTTGCTCTGTTATGTCAGCATTTGAGAAACTTTGGGGCTCTTTTTTGTAAGGATTCGAGAAAATATGATAAAACATTTTGTATTTGATGAAATATTTTGAACATTTTGATATTTCTGACTGCATATTGCTTACCTCTTTTAAAACTGAAGTGTCTGTTATGGTAAAGTAAAGGAGAAACAAAAATCAAATCAAACGAGTGCCAGTCTTCTTACTGCCACATTCAACCAGTGATCAAACCATCGCAGTATAGTCTGATGCCATTGAATGAATTACCATGCACAGTTATGATACAGATCATACATGAAAAGGATTGTATGTTTTCCAGGCCAAGAATTAACAAAGTTACCTTCAAAGGGAAAATATTCATCATCAAAGTCAAAGACAAAAATGTGAGTTGGACAAAATGTTTAACTAGCTTAAAAGCAGACATTTAAAAGTATTCATTTTTAGATATGATTAGAGCCCAGATCATCTGAGCTTTAAATACATATTAACAACAGGTAAACTATGAGTAAACTAACAAGTGATGTATGTTCATAATGTGTTCGTGATACAGTATTCATAATTACATCAAGTTTTTCGTTTTAACATGATGTAAGATTTGTATGTAACAGTGACTCGTTAACTTGAGATCTACACCCCTATGATTTTTTACCTATCCCATTATTTCAATATATGGTCAGTGACCCAAGTAAGGCTCATATGATACTTTATCTACCAATTATTTCTATATTTGGTCATTGCCTTAGGAGACCCCTATGATACTTTACCTATACCGGTATTTCTATATTTGGTCATTGCCTTAGGAGACCCCTATGATACTTTACCTATCCCAGTATTTCTATATTTGGTCATTGCCTTAGGAGACCCCTATGATACTTTACCTATCCCAGTATTTCTATATTTGGTCATTGCCTTAGGAGACCCCTATGATACTTTACCTATCTCGGTATTTCTATATTTGGTCATTGCCTTAGGAGTCCCCTATGATACTTTACCTATCCCGGTATTTCTATATTTGGTCATTGCCTTAGGAGACCCCTATGATACTTTACCTATCCCTGTATTTCTATATTTGGTCATTGCCTTAGGAGATACCCCTATGATACTTTACCTATCCCGGTATTTCTATATTTGGTCATTGCCTTAGGAGACCCCTATGATACTTTACCTATCCCTGTATTTCTATATTTGGTCATTGCCTTAGGAGATACCCCTATGATACTTTACCTACCAATTATTTCTATATTTGGTCATTGCCATAGGAGACCCCTATAATACTTTACCTGTCTCGGTATTTCTATATTTGGTCATTGCCATAGGAGACCCCTATGATACTTTACCTACCAATTATTTCTATATTTGGTCATAGCCTTAGGAAAGACCCCTATGATTCTTTACCTACCAATTATTTTTATATTTGGTCATTACCACAGTAGACCCCTATAATACTTTACCTATCCCGGTATTCCTATATTTGGTCATTGCCATAGGAGACCCCTATGATTCTTTACCTACCAAATATTTCTATATTTGGTCATTGCCGTAGAAGACCCCTATGATACTTTACCTATCCCGGTATTTCTATATTTGGTCATTGCCTTAGGAGACCCCTATGATTCTTTACCTACCAATTATTTCTATATTTGGTCATTGCCATAGTAGACCCCTATAATACTTTACCTGTCTTGGTATTTCTATATTTGGTCATTGCCATAGGAGACCCCTATGATACTTTACCTACCAATTATTTCTATATTTGGTCATTGCCGTAGAAGACCCCTATGATACTTTACCTTTCCCGGTATTTCTATATATGGTCATTGCCTTAGGAGACCCCTATGATTCTTTACCTACCAATTATTTCTATATTTGGTCATTGCCATAGTAGACCCCTATGATACTTACCTATCCCTGTATTTCTATATTTGGTCATTGCCTTAGGAGATACCCCTTGGTATTTATTTCTATATTTGGTCATTGCCTTAGGAGACCCCTATAATACTTTACCTACCAATTATTTTTATATTTGGTCATTACCACAGTATTAATACTTTACCTATCCCGGTATTCTATATTTGGTCATTGCCATAGGAGACCCCTATGATACTTTACCTACCAATATTTCTATTTTGGTCATATATTACTTTACCTATCCCGGTATTTCTATATTTGGTCATTGCCTTAGGAGACCCCTATGATTCTTTACCTACCAGTTATTTCTATATTTGGTCATTGCCATAGTAGACCCCTATAATACTTTACCTGTCTTGGTATTTCTATATTTGGTCATTGCCATAGGAGACCCCTATAATACTTTACCTGTCTTGGTATTTCTATATTTGGTCATTGCCTTAGGAGATACCCCTATGATACTTTACCTACCAATTATTTCTTTATTTGGTCATTGCCTTAAGAAAGACCCCTATGATTCTTTACTTGTCCTGGTATTTCTATATTTAATCAATGAAAAGCCCTCATGATTCTGACTAGCCCTAAACTACTTTGATTGGGTCAGTGACTCTGGTGAGGCCCCCAATAATTATGTATTATTTATGTATGGTCTGGGATTCAAGCAATGATTATGGCCTGATGAAATGCATTAACGATTCAGATCTACCAGTCCCCACCTAGTTCAGTTGCTTTGAATGGCATGTGATGGGCCTCTCTATGTTGTTCAGTGAGGTAGCCACCAGCTAGCCTACAAGGAGACCCCTTGCTCAAAATCACCCTGGCTGTTCAGGGGCAATATACTCAGTAAACAAACAAACTTAATCTCTGTTTGTCAAAAACATTTTAGGTACACGTAATTATATGACATGGCTACTTTTCAGAATGATGAGCATACCTATGCATTTGAGGTTATGAGCAAGCTTGCCTGTAAACACCTGTGGAAATGCTGTGTGGAACACCATGCGTTCTTTAGGTGAGAAGTCAGTAATGGTAGATCTTGAGAAGGCCATCTTACAAGCCCTGTGTGGTCCGATGGTTTCTGTTGTACAGGTTCCACAGGTTTGTATGTAGAATTGGGCGGTGAAATTATACATATAAACAGTATACCTAGCTTGATATTAACAGTCTCTGTCTTCCTGCTTTCTATATCAGGTTATTTCACCTACCTATATATATATATAGGCTTGGAATATTATGCTGTTATATATAGTCACCTCAATCAGAGCTGGGAACAGGATTTATATAATATGCACCAGTAGACACTTTGCTGACAGTAATGCTAGGTTCTTTAGGATGATGTTTAACTGCTGGCTGTAGTCCACTGTAATCATCAGATCTGTTGGGTATGGTAAATCAATATTTCTTTAAGTTCATATACTATTCAAAATACTCTTTATTACATTATAAACCTCTGGCTTATATAGAAAATGCAATTTTAAAGTATCAGCAGCATATTGAACATTTACCTATAATATCTTGTGTAAATGACTAATTGAATTTTCTCTGCTCTGTTAAATACCTTTGTAGCTATAATGTATCCTGTCGGAAGAAAACTGGTCCAAATCAACAAGGGTAGTTTTACTAAGGTTAAGGTTAAAATCATGTTAAGATTCAAAATAGAAAAAAGTTTTGATGTTGGAAAAAAATTACTTTGTTGTAAATGAAGTTAATTGTAACACTGGGTTATAATCCATGAAAACCTAACATTGGTATGGGTTGCTGTTTGTTGAACTATAGACAAGAAAAGAACTCTTCTGTAGACAGGTTACACTGTAGTGACATTCATGTTTAGGCATCAGCTCTATTGATATACACATTGTACTATTTTAATTGCTCTCTGTCATGTGATCTCAGTTAATGTTATGTTAAAAATCTTACAAAATCTGTTTTAAAAATACAACACAGAAATGTTGTTTACCATTCTGTAATAGAAGACATAGTGTACATTTCAAGAGCCTTTCAGAAATATCAAGTCCAGCTTACATTTAGGAGAGTGGTTAAAATGGATTGATGATTCTGTTACATACTAGTGTCTAAGTATTATAATTCTTCAAAATAACATGTTTTAGAATAATTTAAGCCATCTCATTTCATCATCTTAACCATCAGAAATCAACTTCATCATTCATATTGTTTATCATCAGAAATCATCTTCATCATTAGTACTGTAAATCTCTTGCCATAGAAAATATATGTCATTGAAACTGACTTGTTTGTTGAATTTCATGATTGAAGTAATTAACATCTGACAAAAATCAAATGTAGCCATTAACTGACAGATAATTTTCAATATTTGTAAATTTTACATAAATGCTATGATTTGGCAAGAGATTTGTAGAACTATAAATGTGAAAGCTGTCCTCTCTGACACCAGATTGAACAATCATTTTGTTTGTGAAGAAAACGTCCTCCGTTAACGTATGTGAGAAAGTTGATATTTTATCAAATTTTGGCTGGTAATAAGAATATAAAGGTGTCAGATAGGTTTTACAGCTGTTTATACCTATATCATCATCACACACCTGTATCATCTCTCCATTGTTTTGTACTAGACTAAGGCAGGCCAGTGACTCCTATGCTAGGTCAGACTACAGTTATAGACCTACCTCCCGTAGTCGGCGCTCCAGGTAAGACCATGCTTCCTCACACCCTCACTCCGGTAATGGACCAACCTAATCCCAGACAACTTTCATGTACATTGGTTAGAACTGGGTGATCGTCCATCCAACTGGGTGTACAGGGATGTGTTAGATTGTGTTGTGGCTTTTTGACTGTGTGAGCAGCTTTATGTGTTAAAATAATTATACAGGTTTAATTAAAACTAATATGTTGATGTTTGATGTGATTTTTTCTTTAAATGTCTTCTGTGTACTGTGATAATTTTTGACGAGAAATTCCTCCATTTTCAATGAGGTGGTAATCTTTGACAAGACGCTCCAATTCCAAATGGGAATGTTAAACAGAAGTTTGTAGACCATTTCAGGTGGTAAGGGGTACATGATTATAACACATTTTGTTAACACAGAGGTGATGGTAGCTTTCACTGTTGGCTTACCCTGTTTGCACTGTTCCTTACAAATATATATTATCCCTATAATTTCAGTTTGATTTTTCTAATGTTCTCACTGAAATTCATTTTCACAGGTTGGTTAACATGACATTAAGTAATTTTTCTACTATAAATTTGTTTCTAGAAATACTTTAAGTTTTGGTATTATTAAGGACATGTATGAGATTTCTATGTGATGAGAACCAATTTTTCTTGGAAAATAAGAAGAGTTCACAAAAACGGACATATCTTGTTGATTTACTGGACCTTTGGAGGGTAAAGCGCTACATTAATATACTTTGGTATACTCATTGTAAGTGAAAGAAATATTGTATACAACAAGTATGAGTTGTTGTGACCTATTATCACCACACTAAAAGACCTATTCTAACGATGAATTCACCTGTTCTGTAATTACGTGTATTTTGTTCACTTAGGGTTTAATGGTAAGGCTTATAGTAAAATGCTGCTAATTAATATGCAAAACCCGACAATTTCAGAAAAATGTGGAAACACTATGCATGTTTTACAAATTACAAAGTAATTAATGCCATCTTCAGAACAATAAATTTATGGAAATCCATATATAAATTTTGCAGGTTGTAATTTCTGTGACTGCCTGAAGTGCCTTCCTATGAAATAGTCCATTTTTTTGCAGTTCACATATCCATCAAACATTGCAAGTGTCACTGCTGTATGTCTTGGGACATTTTTTGGATATGTAAGAAGCAATGTTGTCAGTTTGTTGTTTATGTTAAAATCAGCCATTATAAATTTGTCTTCGAAGAAACATTAACTTGAGTCAGTCCTGGCTTTTAGTGTGTAGTCTTGGCGAAAGTTCTCCCTAAGTCAATCAAAAGACCTTAAGGGGTTACATTATAATGCTGAGAGTTGAACAGCTAGATATATTGACCTCTAACTCAGTAAAGGATGTTAGGTGTGGTTAAGACTATAATATATATATTGTATTACCTTGTACCAACAGTAGCAGTGGAGACATTTCTCAGTTGTGTCGGAACAATTGCCATCATATTAACAGAAATTAAGTTGGAAGCTTATGTAAAGAAAGCAGTAAGAAACATCGATCACAGGGTTATTGGCATCACATTGAGAATGTTTGTGGAATTTATTTTTTGTTACCAACTGTCCATACACTAACATGATTATGAAAATTGACTGAAATTTAACCCAGTACAATCATCTATCTTTGAGAATATATTTTAATGATATAAAATACATTGGGAAGTAATCACACATAGTACTCTATTAAAACTCATTTATTTTGGAGATCTTTTCACTTTTACCGCAGGTAATTTGTATGTGAATTCTCATTTATTTACAAGTTCATCCTTTTATCAACAGACAAAGGGAGTTCATCTCCAGCATCATATATATATATATATAGTAGAGAATTTTCTTACTGGCTTCAGCTCACTGTGTCTAATACAATCAGGATTTATTTCTTACAGTGGTCGTCATGAACGACTGAATCAGACAGAAAGTGATCGACGACAGCCTAATGTGAATCGTGTCCCTAGTAAACGGCATCAGCGGAGAACCTCATCAGATTCCAGACTCAGTGGTAATACTTCTCTAAGTAATGTTTCCAGTATTTACTCACTATATTGAAAAGAATAGTTCAAAAAGTTTTCAAGTTGAAGTGCCAGTTTCAAGTCGCAATATTGGTCTGAAATGACTTTTAATTGAGGATATGCCATAAAATAATAGTAAAATAAAAAAAAAAAAGATAAGTAATTGCTCTCTTCCAGTTCATGGAGAAGGGATACCACACCTTGCAGCAGGGATATCAGTGAACCGTATTGCCATACCTCCCCCAGACAAAAGTACACGTCACAACAGAAGTCTGCCAGACCTCCAGAAGGGCTCTCCTAAAAGTACTCGCTCAGCTCCTTGGGAAACAGATGTAGAAGCGTATGTATCAACTAGTATAGGGAAAGTCATCAGGATGTTTGATACGTAATCCCTACAAATGTTATATATTCCAACCTTACGTATCTGTACAGATAAACTTTTACACTCAATGTATCAAACTCTCTGAGAAAGCACAGTGCAGCAAAGTATATCTCATGAGGCCCTCCCGATTCCAGCTGTAAATGGGTCTTTCCTCAACTTAAGAAGGTGGATGATATCATTGTGAAGCATTCTCTATCAAGATGATGGCCAACAGTAGACTAAATATTTAGTATGTAAAATGAAAGTATATTGCAATCTCTAAAATACCGGTCAGTTTGTCCACTCATTGGTAATATACAGCAACTGAAAAAACATTCTTTCTGAAGTTAGTATTTATTTATGTCTCTACGTTGTCTTTAGGAAAGTCATTGAATCTGTTATTATAAATTATATGTGTGAAAAGATTAAAATATTGGTAGTCTTACTGATGGTTGTGTTGATCTACAGGGGTCTGTATACGTCGGGGAGAGACTCCCCAACATCTATGTACAGTGATGCCACGAGATCCTATCACAGAAGAGTAGGACCACCTAGTGATACAGAAAGTGGATACCGCAGAAAGTAAGTGTTCAATATCAAAATGTCATAGTTCTATCTCACCACCACTAGTCCAGTGGTCCCATTAATCTTCACATTTCTTGTACATATTGGCTTTTTTTCTAGACAAAAATAGTCCTTAAAGGCTAGTAACCTAGCTGTCTAGTCAGTCTTGGTCCTGTAATCCAGTGATTTAGGTAATATAGGCACTTCTTCCATGTGTATAGTGTGGCCAAAATAACATATTCATTGACCTTTGTCTTGTGTATTCAAGTTGGCTAATCACATTCATGAATTTCCGTGTGCTCTCTGGTACATGTGACAGGGAAATCTCCTTCGCCATTCAGCGCTAGATTTTTTCTGTCTTCTCCAATCTGCCTGGTACTTTTACTAGATATTTGTTGCTAAGTGATGTCACAATTATGATGATGTTATATTCAATTGTCTCTCTGATGCACAAACAATGTAATCAAATCAGAGATTTTGACACTAATGCATGAAAAGAAGAACCGGTCACCCTTAGATATTTGAGATCAATTTATCTCCTGGTGACATTCTCAAACATTTCATTCTCAGCTTTGCCTTGAATCAGATTTCGTTACCACATGATAGCCCTTGACTGAGATTTTAAACTTAGTCTAGTACTTGATGAAGATGTGATGTCTAGGTGTGATTGGTCTGCCTGTTCTCATTGTATGAATGCTGTGTGTCTGTTGTCCCTGTATGAAAATAAGGTAAAGAATTGTGAATGTGACTTTTGGTCTACATAAATGATACCCAGACATTCTGATGACAGCACTTGTCTGTAAATGTTTCCATACATCTAGTGATATAACATGTTGTGTTAAATTACAGACATATGTACTTCCCAAGGGGAAAAGGATCTGACAATGAAAGTGATGTTTCGTTTTCCCGAAGAAGAAGGTTTGTATTGTCAAGTCTCTCGATGATAGGCTTGACCCAAGCATATTATTTATATTTAATTGTTTTTTGTTTTATATAAACACATTCAAAATCTTCAAAAGGTATTATGATATTACTTTACCTCTCTAAAGGTTATATCTAATCATGTCAGTGAACACTGTGGGTGTTCAGTGCAACTGTTGGTTAAAGTTTTACACATTACTTCATTCCAAACAAACAAAATCAGAGATGTTCATGCTAAGACTAAACTAATGCTAAAGAACTTAGTTATACACCCTGAATTTGATATCATTACTTTTCCTGTATAGATATATGTAGTCCAGGTATTGATTCATTTGTCTGTTGAAAATTCCTTTTGGAAAACTCTGTAAAATACACAATTGCACCTGTGAAAGTATGTCTGCATATATATTAATAGCCTGCAAGTACTATAGTCTTTCAGTAAAATATCTACCTGACCACACACCCCCCACTCCCCATGACCCCCCTGCAAGGACATGTCTGTCAGTACTTAAGTCTGTTTCAGTCAAATATATACCTGATCCCCCATGATCAATCAACCATCCAACCCCCCCACCTCCAAAAAAAAAATCTATCCCTGATCAGGTTTCCTGCCCATTTATCCTTGAGCAAATTACCAATTCAAGATAAAACCCAGAGTCCTGGGGTTGGATAGATATTTTACTGTATAGCCCTACAGTGTTTTTACCTTACGTCACTGTTACTACAGGCGAGAGATTGATAGTGGAAGTGAGTCTGATGTTTCCCCATCACGTCCCCACCGCCACAGACCTAAGAGCTCAGCAGATGATTGGTTTGAAAGTCAATGGAAAGAAGCCATGGAAGGGTAGGTTATTAGTAGAAGTAGAATGTAGATTTGTAGAGAAGAACTTTTATTGTCGGGTGTACTTTTGAATGAATCAGCCTGAAATCGCTTTTGAGATTGGAGGTATATGTACTGTTATACTATAGCTTTAATTTTTACTATGAACAAATTCATAGTAATGTTGTATTTGTACTACTGTGAAAGTGGATGATTCTCTGTGAATCAGATTTAAGATTTCCATATATCATGTTTCAGTGTAGTGGTATATTTATATATTTATGGAGACTTGAATTAATACGAAAATCATAAATATGTACAAGACACTGTGATAATATCCACCTCCACACCTAACTAGTTTCCTCCAACAGATGAAAAAGTTAAACGATATGCATGTTTTACAGGATGTATATTCCAAACAAGGAAAATATGCCTAACGGGTAAGCTGTACGGTTTGGTGTTGGGCTTGTTGATATTCATTGTACCTTTATTTGTTTGACATTGTAACCTGTTCTGTCATATCTTAATATGGATTATTATTAATTCTATACTTCGTGTGTTCCATTAATTATTATTTCCAATCTGGGGTACATGCTGATCTTGATTTCCAGTATGTCCCAACATTAAAACAGTATATCAATTTAATATAGTTTCATCGTGATTGGTTTTAAGGAAAGTTTATTTCATTTTAAAATCAACAACAAACCATTTCCATCATTTAACTGAAAGATGATTTATAAGAAAAGAGGAATTTTTAGCTATGTTAACTGATCATTTGGGAAAACTCTATTAAAAATTTTCTCTTTTGAGACAAGTTTTTTTTCTCAAAAATGGCACTACTTCCTTGCTCACGCACATGCCTGGAATGTAATGGACATTTTTCAACATACCAAAAAGTTAGTATAAGCACAGAAAGGATATCATATTTGCTTTTAAAGGCCGTTTTGGAAACTCCTCTTTTGAATGTGATATAATTTCCCAGCATAAATCTGGAAGTACTCCACCTGGAATATCTATAAAGTCACATTTATTATGCATGTATTGCTATTCAGCATGATGTAGCAAGCACTTTTATGTGTTGTTTAGTTTTTTAAGTACCAAGTTTTATTTTTTGTTATTTTTTTCAGGATTCAAGTGATTTTGATAATTTGTATATGATAATAATGATACAACATGAATGTTACAGACATATGCTGACTTGAGATAAACTATGTCTGAAAATACTTTGATAGAATAATACATGTTTATAGTTTCTTTTCACAGGTTTGAAGACATTACATAGACATAGCATTTTTAATTTCTGTGATTGAAATTCGATGGAACACATCTAATGTTTCCTTAAACTGATATAGATAGAACATGCTTATTCCATAGACAGATTTGGACTGGCTGTGTTTGTAGTTTGGACAGAACAGTAGTCATAAAACATTATTATGTATAAATAGTTCCTTTGTTTATTGTTTCAGTGGTGGTTCGTCTGTACATTCTGCACCCACTGGGGACTTTGCTGCCAAGCGACGGCGGCGACGGCGCAGTAAATCCCCTGCTAATAAACAACAACCTCCAGAAGAATTAAGGCAACATTTTGAGTAAATATTTCATTGCTTTGACAATATTTCTGAACATTTGTACCATTAATCTGTAATTAGATCACCTGAGACAAAGTCTCATGGTGACCTACTGCGATTACTTTTTGTCCGATGTCATGTGCCTGTAAACTCTTAATATTTTTGACTTCACATATTGATCTTGGCTGACCCCCAGGGTTTGATGGGCACGGCCAAAAGGGGTCAAATTGACTCAAATTTCAGAAATCTTCTCAACATCTAGATAAGGTGGAATCAAATGTATCTCATGAATAGAAGCATCTTCTGGTGCTTTTCCAAATTTGTGAATTTCATGGCCCCAAATCTCATATTTTTTCCTGGGGAGGGGGTAAAATTTATTATAGTTTTATTAGAAAATTGAAATTTTTTTTAAATGTTTATTTTCCACTGGAAGTAACTTTGTAGGAAATATTGATATAGAATGACAGGTTTAAGGATATGCATATACTGATACTGGCTGGCTGACCCCAAGGACTTAAATTAAGTTACTTAAGTCTTACAATCATCAATGTCACAGTTTCTTTTTTGTGACACTTGAAAACTACTTACCCTATAAACTTTATATTGAATATGGCGTACCTCATATGACCGTCAAGACCGCTGGGCCTCTTGTTTTTGATACCAAAACTGTTTTAATTGATTGGTAATACTAACATAATACTGCAAATCACTTACATTTCATGTGGAATTTATTTGCATGGAGATAGGCAAAGATAATCATATCGTAAATTCAAATTATGTGTTGGAAAATAATTCATGATGGCATTTGGTTAATGTAAACAATATCAGAATCAAGAAGAATCCTGATCTCTAATACCAAATCATTCGAGAAGTTTATTTCTAGATTAGCATTGGTGGAATCATGTATTCACAAATATTTCTGAACAGGTAATAAATAAGTTCGCAAAATAAACTGTCCATGAAATCTATGTGATTTACAGTAAGTTGATTTTTGTGTGTAATTACTTCAATTTTATTTGAATATTTCATTGTTGTGCATGTTGAAACGATGTATTGAAATTTGCATGATGTTTGAATATATGAAAGTATTTCAAGTAAGTTGAAATTGAGCTGTTTTTTAATGTGGTGTTGTAGTTGATATTAACCTGACCCCAAAGACTTCTTAATTTTCACATTTTATAGTCAGAAGATAGTGTGAGTCAACGTCATTGCTAACCTGGCCTGTAATGTTGTAATGGAAGATAGTTCTTATCCTGTCCTGGTGTTTCACATGTTGTAATGGGTAGATAGTTGTTAACCTGACCTGATGTTTCACATGTTGTAATGGGTAGATAGTTGTTAACCTGACCTGATGTTTCACATGTTGTAATGGGTAGATAGTTGTTAACCTGACCTGATGTTTCACATGTTGTAATGGGTAGATAGTTGTTAACCCGACCTGATGTTTCACATGTTGTCATGCGTAGATAGTTGTTAACCTGTCCTGGTGTTTCACATGTTGTAATGGGTAGATAGTTGTTAACCTGTCCTGATGTTTCTATGTTGTAATGGGTAGATAGTTGTTAACCTGACCTGATGTTTCACATGTTGTCATGGGTAGATAGTTGTTAACCTGACCTAATGTTTCACATGTTGTCATGGGTAGATAGTTGTTAACCTGACCTGATGTTTCACATGTTGTAATGGGTAGATAGTTGTTAACCTGACCTGATGTTTCACATGTTGTAATGGGTAGGTTATTGTACTTATGAGATGTTTCACATGTTGTAATGGGTAGGTTATTGTACTTATGCGATGTTTCACATGTTGTAATGGGTAGGCTATTGTACTTATGCGATGTTTCACATGTTGTAATGGGTAGATAGTTGTTAACCTGACCTTGTGTTTCACATGTTGTAATGGGTAGGCTATTGTACTTATGCGATGTTTCACATGTTGTAATGGGTAGATAGTTGTTAACCTGACCTGATGTTTCACATGTTGTAATGGGTAGGTTATTGTACTTATGAGATGTATCACATGTTGTAATGGGTAGGTTATTGTACTTATGAGATGTATCACATGTTGTAATGGGTAGGTTATTGTACTTATGAGATGTATCACATGTTGTAATGGGTAGATAGTTGTTAACCTGACCTGATGTTTCACATGTTGTAATGGGTAGGCTATTGTACTTGTGAGATGTTTCACATGTTGTAATGGGTAGGCTATTGTACTTATGAGATGTATCGCACATTTTAATGGGTAGGTTATTGTACTTGTGAGATGTTTCACATGTTGTAATGGGTAGGCTATTGTACTTATGAGATGTATCACATGTTGTAATGGGTAGGCTATTGTACTTATGAGATGTTTCACATGTTGTAATGGGTAGGTTATTGTACTTGTGAGATGTTTCACATGTTGTAATGGGTAGGCTATTGTACTTATGAGATGTTTCACATGTTGTAATGGGTAGGTTATTATACTTATGAGATGTATCACATGTTGTAATGGGTAGGTTATTGTACTTATGAGATGTTTCACATGTTGTAATGGGTAGGCTATTGTACTTATGAGATGTAATGGGTAGGCTATTGTACTTATGAGATGTATCACACATTTTAATGGGTAGGTTATTGTACTTGTGAGATGTTTCACATGTTGTAATGGGTAGGTTATTGTACTTATGAGATGTATCACATGTTGTAATGGGTAGGTTATTGTACTTATGAGATGTATCACACATTTTAATGGGTAGGTTATTGTACTTGTGAGATGTTTCACATGTTGTAATGGGTAGGTTATTATACTTATGAGATGTTTCACATGTTGTAATGGGTAGGTTATTGTACTTATGAGATGTTTCACATGTTGTAATGGGTAGGTTATTGTACTTATGAGATGTATCGCACATTTTAATGGGTAGGTTATTGTACTTGTGAGATGTTTCACATGTTGTAATGGGTAGGTTATTGTACTTATGAGATGTATCACACATTTTAATGGGTAGGTTATTGTACTTGTGAGATGTTTCACATGTTGTAATGGGTAGGTTATTGTACTTGTGAGATGTTTCACATGTTGTAATGGGTAGGTTATTGTACTTATGAGATGTATTACACATTTTAATGGGTAGGTTATTGTACTTATGAGATGTATCACACATTTTAATGGGTATACAGCTACTAAATTGACCCTCTGAATTGTTTGCTTAGCTATAATCTGGTGGATACCGAGGGTATGACAGAGGCAGAACTACAGGACATACCATTTATCCAAGTCGAGTAAGTTAGGAATTTAATTATTGATTTTAAAGTGTTATATCATTGATAATATCTTAATAGGTCTGAAGTGGATATCTAACAAAAAATAACTCATACACATTTTTATACATAGGTATAGTTAAAGAAACATACAGTCTGTCTTCATAGTGATGAAGAAAACTATTGAAGATGGTTGTAATTATTAAAAATGAAAATCAATTTTTTTTTAAGGTTTAATATTCCAGTTTTTGAGTGGTTCTTTTTAATACAACAATTACATTTGTTAACCTATTTATTTCAAATTCTTTTAAAGTGAAGATGAATTTGGATGAAAGAGTGAATGTTATGTAAATTTCAGGACAAAAGCAGAGCCATTCCGTTTGAGATATTCACCCAAAACACGACAGCGGTACCGGTCCCCTAAGAGGAAAAGCACTGGGTAAGTAAATATTCTCCCAAAACATGACGACGTAGAAGTTCTCTTAGACAAAGAGTACATGGTAAATTGGATCACTGTCTCAAGATGGAAAGCAGAATCACTTTTTTTTTTCTCTCATCTTTTTTTTTTACTGATTATCATATATCATAATTTCATATAGAGGATTTTGACTAAATGAATGATATAAGTTTTTCTGTGATTTTGTATATAGTGACCTTGACCCTGACCCTAGACTTGGGATCCATCTGACCAATGGTGATAATGCAGTGCCTTCCTACCCTAACCACGACACCCCAGAGTCTGTACGGCACAACTATTTCAGTGACACTAACAGTAACTATAAACTAAAAAGGTAGGTAACTCTCATCAAACACACCAAATACTGTAAAACGTCTGCAGAGGTGGACCCATCATCAAACACATGAAATGCTGTAAAGCTTCTGCAGAGGTGGACCCATCATCAAGCACACCAAATGCTGTAAAGCTTCTGCAGGGGTGGACCCATCATCAAGCACACCAAATGCTGTAAAGCTTCTGCAGGGGTAGACCCATCATCAAACACACCAAATGCTGTAAAGCTTCTGCAGAGGTGGACCCATCATCAAGCACACCAAATGCTGTAAAGCTTCTGCAGGGGTGGACCCATCATCAAGCACACCAAATGCTGTAAAGCTTCTGCAGGGATGGACCCAATGTTTTGTTTTTATTCTTATTTACATAATGATTATTCCAAGTTTCTTGATAATTCAGTTATATTTTTCTTGAGTGCACAAAATTTGTTTGCCTTTCATTGACACCAGTGTAAAATTTGCCACTTTGTGTTGTATCATCATTACTTCACTACATCTTATAGTTCTCCTACTGGAATACAAGTCTTCAAAAACAATCAAGAAAACACCAACATATCATTAGAATCTTAATTAAAACTCAAATTTGATGAAACCAGGAAAAACAATGTTATTTCCATTCCATATATTTTCACTATGAAACTGTATACTTCAGAAAATGTTATAAGTAAGATAGGCTAATGAATATCCCACTTACTGGTGAAGCTTAGTGTGTTCTGATGGAAACGGACCTGGATTAATTAAGATGGTCTTAAATATTGTTATGAAAGTCAATGAAAAATCAGCATAGTTCTCGATTGTTGTATTTTTAGAAATGTAATAGGAAATTATAATGACATGATATGCAAAATGTAAGTAGACATCCATGTGTGGATATTTTAAGAATATATTGGTTTATTGATAGTTGATTGTGTGTCTGATTACAGTCGCAATGACAAGGGTAACCAGCAGCCTGACCGACAGCTTCCTGGCCGTCCTGGGACAGACAAACAGCCAGCGAGACTACCCAACAGGGACCAGACTAAGGTATATATAGTGGTGACTCCTGGTCTAGGATTCAGGCTTGATAAACAACATGGACCTATCACACTGATCATACTCATATCATCTACAATATTGATATTGTCTGTTCTAAATCATATGGCTGAAAAACATACAAAAACATGAAATGTTCCTGATAGTTTCAGCATTAGAAATTATTTTATCTCATGGACACTACCAATTTCAGCCTCATTTTGACTACCAATCCCAGGACGGTGTTTCTCTAAACTCCCATGATACCTTGCGAAGCCGGGATTTTGACTCCACTACCATCAGCTCTGAGCAGGTTGGCTGTGGATGTGACTTATATAACCTTTAACCCCTTAACCTTTGTTTTGTGACTGTGGAAAGAATGTTGAGTGAAAACCTCTGACCTATAACCTTTGTCCTTGTAATGTATATCACTCATACTCGGATTTCTGATTGTATATGCTATACAGGACTTACAGTAAACATTTGGTGTTTAAGGATGACGTACTTGTATGCATTACATCCTGTTGTACACACTTATCCTATCTAATATGTATAATGTTACACAATGTATTATGTAAGCTGTGCACTCATGTCTGCTTTATGTGTTATCATTTGTACATTAATTTTTCAAATTTTGACAGATTTAATAGGTGTATATATACCTTCTTGGATAAATGGTTATTTTTTCCAATATGTTCAAAAATTAAAGTTTTCCTAGTTATATCTGATACTTCAAGTTGTTTAAGACAATCTGTTTTGACTAGCCTTTAAATGTGATTCTGGAATGATGATCATGAACTAGCTTATATATAGATAAAGCTCTCCAATCTGATTTACATACATATTTAACTGGTTTTTATCCAAATTAACAGTCATTGATGTTGAGCCAATCATCATTTGTTATCTTCTATTAAGATGCTGTAACTTGTATTTATTTTGATGTTGATATTTTGATATGTTTAAATGGTGATGTTGACTAGAAATACTATTGAAACTTTAATTCTATGAGATGTCTGTTTATACGTGGTAATTTCTATATTGTTCACACTAACAGGCATCCCTTGGTGTTTCACTTGATGACAGTCGCAGTCGTGTTGACCAGAAATTTGAAAACAGGTAGGGGATCGGATTGAGTTCTATAGATTTAGCAATAGAAGCAGTATTATTGATTTATTTCCAAGATACTAAGAAATTTTAGAACTTACAATTACAAATTAAACTTCCAGTCAGTGTCAGCACTCTAGGACTTCATTCCTTGTGGGATTCTCATAAACCTTCACACACTTATAAAGTGCAATGGCATGCAAGGGTGGGCTGGGGACATGTATTGCTTTCGGAACACTCAGTATGTTTGTTAGAACAAAGTATATACAGGTGCAGGAGTTTATTTAGAATTCTTATACATGTTCAGTTAAAACTCAATTACTCAAACTCCATTGAGTCAAAATAATTTTCAAGTCACGATTTTCCATCTATATCTTTGTAATTTTAGTTTGGATGACTTGAATTTCATTGAGTCAAAATTTCGGTTGTTTCAAAGTGATTTTTCTGTCCATTCAATTGTAAAACAAGGGAAAAGTCTATCATTGTCTCGTAATTAACATTTGTCAAAACATTGGCACATCTGACAAAATCGGTCAATACATACACAGAGTAGAACATCACCTGTGCACAACACATGGCTAATTATGGCATATTGGTCCATCATACACATAACACTTGGTTTCTGGTGATCAATTACCAATTTAATTATCTAATTAAAGGTTGGCTTCTAAAGGATGGAATCCTTTTAGTTACTGTTTCTCTGTCAAAAAAGTTGGGAATAGCTATTATACTGGAAGTATATATTTCTGCTACAAACAACTTCAAGGATAGACTTATCTCATTATAATCCTTGTAACTGTGAAAGAAGATAAATATATATACATACTATCACGTTTGTGAGAAATTGGTTGCATGCTTATTCAGCAAACACCTAATGGTAGTTTCAGTACCATCAGATGTTTGAGGTAAGGTACTTCACTCAGTTGGTGAATATTCTTTTATTATTTCAGAATGGAAAATGTCAGAGGATCTAATAGATACAGTGCTAAAATGGATGACAGAAGACAGGACCAGTCTAGTCAGAATAACAGACCCAGCTCTAATGAACAGGGCAGGGGTGATAGTTCAAGGTCAAATGAACATGATAAAACAAGGCAAAATGATCAAGATATATCAAGGTCAAATGATTTTGATAGGTCAAAACTAAACGAACAAGATAGAGGAAGGTCAAATTACCAAGATAGGGCAAGGTCAAACTATCAGGATAGGTCAAGGACAACTGATCTAGATAGGTCAAGGTCAAATGAACAAGATAGAATCAGGTCAAATTATCAAGATAGAGTGAGGTCAAATGATATTGATATACCGAAGTCAAACAGTCAAGTGCATGGTGCCTTGTCAAATATGTCCAGTATACCCAGTCAAATGAGAAACGATTACAGAAACCAAGGTCAGCCAAGGCCATACAACCCAGAGTCAAGGTCAAGTGAGCTACAAAGGCCATATGACCAGGGAAGGTCTGAGAGACCTGTTCAGTACCAGTTACGCAGGTAATGACATTTCTTGTATGTTCTTTGTTTATAAGATAGTGCAGCTTACAGATATTTTATAACTTTTCTTTTCAGTTTTTTTTCCCCAATTGAAAAAAAACCGAATTTGATGAACAAAATTAGGTCTTATTAATTGGTGATCATTTAGTGGGAACATTTATATTCACCTCTAAGATTGAGGTTTCATTGAATTTCTTGTATTACCCAGGTAGCAGAATTACAGATTTCTGTGTTGTAACTTCACTACCAACTCACTACATAAAAAGCCACAGTAGATAATCATTTGTCAAGGCCGAGATGATATGCTGGTATTGACATTGTACACAATGTTAATAAATGTCTGGCATGCTTTTCACAAAAATCACTTTAATATCTGCTCGCCTACTATTGTTATGTCATGTCACATTGAACATTCACATGTCATTACTGGACAGATATCACTCGGTTCAGAAGTCATCAAATCATTCAAACATAATTTATATATCCATATAAGGTCATTATCATATTAATGTTCCAAATATGGTAATGAAGATACTATTTAGTTATGATGCACGACAAAGGTTCTATACATCATACTTTGTTAAAACCCCAGGTACCTCATTTGATGTCTTCCTCCACCTGTACCTATGTCAGATTGTTTTAGTTTATCGGTTGACATTTTGAAACAATGTCAGATTTCACTATAATTGATGAAATCATTTTGGTAATTAAATGTATATTACTGTGTAAAACCAATACCAGGTGAAACTTTGCGTCCTTATCTCTCCCAACATGTGTTAAGTTGATATGTGAATTAGTATATATTTTGCCCAACGTGCTTTGTAATTTGATGTAAACAAATGTTAAAGTTTGATTCCTTCTTTACATTTTTTATTATTTTTTAAATCTAATTTCCAATTCATTGATAGAAGAAAAGATTAAAACATGACCATATATAGACCAGAAGATAAGGAAATCATACATTACTAGAGAGATCCTACATATATGTTAACTTTGCTGATATGCTAGATATATTTGTAAAAGCTCAAAAATACAAACATTCAATTTATCAACCTCTAAATGTTCCTCATAAGGAATATATTACATGTATTTTTAATTGAGTATAGGAAATCACCATACTTATTCCTTGTGGTTTTGCTTTGCCTTCACGCCTCTGTATTATCAATAGAGCAATTAGCAGTTATGCTGATTATATTACCCAGCAGATTGTAGGAATGTATATACCCATTAAAGTTTATATAAAGAAGGATGTGAGATGGATTTGCCTGAAAGTCTTGAAATATCATATATTGGTATATTGGTACATGTCCGAAATTATTACCTGTAGCTTGCTTAGTTAGTAATGAATATTCCTACCTTTAACGACATTTTTCCAGGCCATGTAATCTAACAGTTTACGACATCTACACTGTTTTTAAGATTAAAATTTTATGATTGTTTACGTGTATAATTTACCAAGCTTTATTTCTAGTTGTAGTTCACATAGCCCTTACCTATATATAGTATAGCATGTTGATTTCCTCCCATTTGACCTGTAGAACGTGGGTCTATGGCCAGTCGTCATGACGACAAATTACCTAGTCATTCCAACCTGTATATATATAGATTCCAGTATGTATTCCACCCTTGCACATCCACCTTCCTTAAGAGTAGAGTTCCAGTATATATCACCCTTCCTGGTACAGATGGTCACTGCCTAGCTCTGTACCTTGAACAACCTCGGGGGTCAAACTGATATTGTCGTAATATATGGTATTAGGTCATTATCATAACTCATCATATCATTTTTGATCATGCCATCAACAGTAACCTCATTACATCATTACTTCCATCATCACAATCAAGGCGGTGTGTTATGACATGTGGTTGGCTTATATAACCCGACGCGGTGTGTCTCAGTGATAATAGAAAATGGATAACAAAGTGTGATATTGGCTCTATTTTTCTAACTATCATTGAATAATGACGTCAAAAATAACAGAATTTCTGTGTTTTAATGGGATATTAACAAATATTGAAATAACTGAAATTAAAAAAAAAACATCAATAAATAAAAGTTGTCCTGTTACTAGACTGGAGTGTGATGCTAGTGGTCAGTAACAGTCCAACATCTTCAGCTCCTGTCATTTGTACTGAATACTCATTCTACCAGCTAGGATTTTAAGAGTGACCAGTCAGTCCATTCTCACACTTTTAACAGACTCTTTTGGATCTAGAACAATTAGGTGATGAAGTGTGGAGTTACTGACACAGGATAAATTAGACTATGAAAAGTAGGTAATAAGATATCAAGCTTGTGTTCATGAAAGAAAACTAGCCTCCTCACAGTACCTAGGTAAATATTATCACTATACAGAAGTCTATTTAATTCATGCTATTAATTATTTATAAAAATCAGATGTTGTTGACACATATTTCTGATGTGAAATCTCACTTGCCGGATTAAAGATGGATTAAAGATTGACCGGTACCTTTTACTGATAAATATGGAGAATGTAAATAATGTTGTACTGTTTTTAAGTACACTGCCATACATATAACAGGAGCTTGAGTGTTGGTGTGAGAATGATATGTATGTAACAATAGATGTTTGTGTATCACAAAATAATACATAATTCTCCCCAACGATACAGCTCACAGCGTAATCATAACAAAGGGCGGGTAACTCCGTCCAGCACTGTTCCCCCTGAGGACGAGGGAGATCAGCCACATGAAGTTAAGGAGGATGTTGAGGAGGGGGAGTGCAATAATGAGGAGGATGCTGAAGAGGTTGTTGATGAGGGTGATGAGGAGGCGGGGTCAAGGTAGAATAAATCCACCCTTATGTCTAGACACAACCATTCCAGTGTTAACCCCTCCCCTCTATTGTAACATCTGTATTCACTAATGTTAACACTTAACTTCAAGCTTCAGATAAGAACCAGGTTACATATCTAAAGATAGATCTGTATGTTCATCTTAACATAATTTCAATTTAATTTTCATGTTTTTTTTTTATAGCGATAAGAAGTTAATTTTTTTATCTTAATATACGATGTCTTATATTAAGATCAAGTCATCATATATGATACTGGTAATCATTGATAGAATGTTGCAATATAAAACCAATTATTTGAACATCAATTAACACCTAATGTACCTTTTTGGTCCTTATCTGAGTTTGTACAATGTATATAAGTATATATGTTATGTGTATAAATAACCTTGTTGGCATGCTCCTACTCACCAAACTGACACCCTGCATGGCTTGTATTGTGAGCCAGTTTCTATGTACCAGATGTTGATGATCCCAATTGTAAGGTGGTTGTATTTCTATGAATGCATGTTCTCTTCACATGAAGAGGGGACTAACCTGCTGTCAAACTGACTGACATGACTTTGAAGGCCTTGATGGCTTTTACTGTAGACATTCAAAGCAGATGTTTATGAACATTTTAGAATTTAAGAATGGAGAAAAAAAAGCATCTTGAGACAACAAATACCGGTGATTGTGAAATGTGAATCCTACTCCATCATTGATAATATTCTTAATACAGATGAACGATATTACCAGTAATTGTGATTTCAAATTTCTATATTTTGTTGAAGAGTTGTCTGGTATGGTAATGAATAAAAGCAGTACACAGCATCTTTGCTGTGCTTACATAGCATATCATATTAGTATAACTTTAATGGGAGGGGCTGTTCTTGTTGACATGATTTTCCTTCAAGAAAGGTAAAAAAATGGTTTGTTAAATTGATTGTGTTGAAAGTCAAAAAAACAGAAATGAAAGATACAGTTTTTCTCCAACCTCACAAAATCTTTCACACACACATATATATATATATTGAAATGGCATTCCACTTATCTAAAACAGGATGTAAACATTTGTAAATTACATTATTTACCTTGAAATCAGACTTATCTAACTCCCTGTTTATAAACAAATAAATAGGTAACAAAGTTCAATATAAGATTATTTTTTATCTTTGTATCTATAAGATAGGGATAATCTAAGTATACATCTAGTTAACAGCTGTTTACAGATTAACATTACACAGGAATGAGAGAAGCATATCCTGCATGGATGTATTGCTACAGTAATACTGAGATAAACACTGACAAAGGTTGTCTCCCCTACATGTATCTATGTGTAGCTCTATTGTTTTGGGTGTCACATGTAAATTTTGTTTCTGTTTTGTGTATCCCTTTATTGTTTTATACTTAAATCACTTATTGGGTTGTTGTTTCCAGACAAGCGAGAGGGCCACCCCCTCTTCCTCAAAGGGACCACACAAGTACCTACACTCCAACAAGGTCTGACCACCCAAGAGACCTGATAAGGGTCAGCTCAGCTCCAAGGGGACAGGCAAGAACGACCCCTGACAACAGGGAACACAATATAATAAACTCTGCTCCCAGATCACAGGGTAGAATGAACTCTGACACTCGGGGACAATCCAATGTGAATTCTGATTCTAGAAGTAATCGAGGAATGTACTCAGACACTCGGGCACAACCTGGCGTGAATTCTGATTCTAGAAGTAATCGAGGAGTGAACTCAGACACTCGGGCACAACCTGGCGTGAATTCTGATTCTAGAAGTAATCGAGGAGTGAACTCAGACACTCGGGCACAACCTGGTATGAATTTTGATTCTAGAAGTAATCGAGGAATGAACTATGACCAAAATAATCAGGGTAGATTGAATTCTAGTCCTCAAAGCACTCCAAAAATGAATGGTACAGTCCACAACCAGGGAGTGTCAACATCTACAAACAATGCAGCCCCTACAAGGAGTAGAATGGGATATTCCAGTGTTCAGGACCGCCCCCTGCCCCGCCCCCCTGTTAATGTTCAGAACTCTCCGGCAGGCATGTCCCCAAAAAGTAGGACTTTTGGCACCAGTGACACCATCAAGAAACTGTATAGCACCCCTCCAGATACGAAACGCATGTATGCCACACAGGACAGCATACGTCGACTTTATAACCAGGATGGCCAAACCCCGCCAGGCAAGGGTGTGTCTACAAGCGGAATGTCATCTGTAGGCATGTCTACAGGGCGCAGCCAAAATATTCTTACCCCACTTTCTCAAAATGTGAGTGTTGTCGTGATTAGAAAATGAAAATAGTGTGTCCAGTGATTGTAGGAGTACTTATTCGTTACATTTTAAAGAAACTTTGAGTTTGTTTTGTACATGTATTAATAGAGGAATCAATGTACTCTAATTAGATACATAGAAACAGATGATTTTTTTTTGTCATACTGAAGTTATATGTTTTAGTAGAAAAACAGTTTTGAAAAAATTTCTTTTCATCTTGATTGACATCAGGTTGAATACTTTTCAGTGAAACGTCTTATTTTTAATTTCAGGTCAGTGCACAAAATTCTCAAAATTACAACTACAACCATTCTCCAGACAAAACTGGTCAGTATGCAAGTTACTCAAGGGCAACAGACCATGTTGGTGAGACACGTGTAAGTCGAGGAGTGACAACACAGCATGTGATCAACAAGAATGTGATTCCGCGGACAGTGTTAGATCCAGGGCATAACCGTGACCTCTGGACTGAGATATGATGTGGTTTTTTTACAAACCCTTGTTATATTTTGATATCAGTCTAATTTAAGATGGAAAGAAGAGAGATGTAATTGTGTGGAAAGTTGCTAATTTTGATGGGGCCAGTTTACAACTATCTAATTGTAGCTTGCATTGTCCTCCCAATTAAATCCTACCTGTTTTCATGTTCTGTCACCAAAGCACTTTAGAATACTTTTCCTAAATCTTCCTTAAAAAATTAATTACTTTTCAACATATTCCTTAGTCCCCTTTACATACCTCTGATGTTTGTCTTACTCTGTAAAGTGTTCTGTGTTTGGAGATTTCTACACCTGTATCTAGGTTAGTCTAGATTGCGACAGAATTTTCCATACATTATATAAAAGCTATGCAATATATGTTATTATCATATCAAATATCAAATTAAGTTCTGTGTGTCTGATAATGTTGCTGATAATTTTAAGGGTTAGCAGGTCCAAGACCACACTACACCTGATAATCATGCAGTTTGTCTTGCCAAGTGCACTGTGATAGAATAATGCTCATGTATATATGGTATCATTGAACAGTTCTTTGTATTTATTTTTGCTAAACGAAGTATGAAATCTTCATAATAATTGTTTAGGTTTGAAACAAGATCAGGCTACATCTCTAACTTTCATTTTGATCTTTTTTTATTTACATTTTATTGCTAACTTTAAACAATAATAAAACTGCTGGTAATTTTGATGAAATTGGTGTATTTGTCAATATTAATTGATAGAACAGCTCATGAGACATTAAATAAGATTAATTCTGATCTAATTATCGTTAAGGTATCATAAAGGTAAAGACTTAATCTCTCTGTCTCAGGCTTGCTTTTTCTTTGTCTCTTTTTTTGAAATTGTTTTAAAATGTCAAGTGTATTTTCTGTTTTTAATTTCTTGAAAGTAAAAATCTTTGGTGCTCCTTAAATATACCTCTACTTCAAGGTTAAAACTTGCATCAGTTTCATTAATTACTTCACATTTTTCTATTTTTTTTTAATATTACGTTAAATATATATTGGGACTATTACACATTTGTTAAAAGTGTCCAGTTAACATGTTGACCTGGTGGAATAGGATCTGGTAAGAATGAGAATTTTGTCTTGTGTTTGTCTTTTTTGTCTACCATTGATGTATACTTCAGTGCTATGAAAAGTGTTAGAAGTCTTGGTATCAAAACCACAAGGAAGATTAAAGACCAGATTTATAATTCTTTGATGTAAAATCTTAAGTCTTTATTTAATACAAAAATGTAGAATCACATATCTCTGTCAAAGTAAACTAAAGGTCCATACATGGATATCAATCTTAATTCATTCATGTGCTAGTGCTTATTTGATGGGAAATAGAAGATAAGAGAATATGTTATTTGGAGTGATGTTGAGTAAGGAATGAAATATCAATATATTAATTTTTTGTTATTTCAAAATAAGATATACAGACTAAGATATTTAGGTCAAATATAAAAATATTTCATATCCTATGCAGAGAATTTTTATATCAAAATTGGATTCATTTTGAGCTATAAATTCAGCATATTTTTTATGGAATGTTCTAACTCAATCTTTCACTTCACAAGAGGAATTTGTATGTGCTAATAAACATGAATCTTGTGTTTGTTCCTATGTATTAACCTTTGTATGTTTATATATTATCTATAGATTTGTTTCATGGATATTTTCGTGTCATAATATGTAACTTAAACTGAAACGCAATGTATACATTCCATAACTTATTGTGCTTTTGATATGAATAACTGGATTTAAGAAATCTCCTTTTTTATTATCATTTCACATTGACTTACTTGTATTTTATCATAAAATGAAAACTTGATAATCTCAGGCCTTATTGCCGTATCATACTCCTCTTTCATCAAACCAAATGAATTTCAATTTGTTTATGTATAATAATGACCTTGCCTACTGCAGCTAAGGTTATGGCCAAAATTTATTGTCAAGGTGATCGTCATGATCTAAGGTCAAGGCCAAAATTTATTGTCAAGGTGATCATCATGATCTAAGGTCAAGGCCAAAATTTATTGTAAAGGTCATCAACATGACCTATGGTCAAGGCCAAAATTATCTAGGAAAACGCCTTTAACAAAGGTCAAGGTCATCATAGTGCTCAGACATTGCCGTCCATCATGTTTTTGAATCAGCTCACTTCTTAAAGTTTGAAGTTTTTATCTTTATCCATGTTATGTCTTTATGGCCAAGTAAACATTCATAAACTTAAGTGTACTTCTGAATGCTTTTAAATGTCTACATATTTGTACAGTAAACAGTGGTTGTGCATGAATTTTACTATGAATTTGAAATCATAATTGAAAGGGTTTTTTTTTCACAAGAATAATTTAGAAATGAAATGTTAAATATACCAAAGCAACATTGATGCAAACCTACTATGGTACCGAAGAAACTGTTCATACACAAATTTGTTGTTGTGTAGTTTATGGACAGGTTTTCTACATATCTAATAGAAAGATTTTGTGAACCCCCACATCTGTAATAAGACAGATTTTGTGCTCACATGTCAGTAATAGACAGGTTTTGTTTGCAAACGTCTGTAAGTAGAGTGGACTTTTCTAAGTGTAAATCCATTTGTCTATTGTGGTTTTAATCCATGTGTATTAGGGAAAATAATTTTTAAGGTTAGATCACTAAAAATCGCAATACAATGAAACGACCATTCCTGGAAGAAAGCAGCATTTTATACAGGTACTTGTAGATACATAGGGAAATCATTTATTCTGTACCTTTCTCATCTATATTGATACATGCAGTTTCCTTGAACTATCTCAGATCATATCATTCGTGTTTCTGGTGATAGACTATAGTAGTGTTTGATACATGAACAAACATTACAGATAGACACCTGTAGATCTAGTCGGTTTATACCGTTCTTTACCAATGTCTATGAAAACAAGTGCCTTAAGATTGTTTTACACTTTGTATGTTGTATTGTAATATCTATACTCCTGGTTTATAAAGTATATGCTGTTTGACTGTATAAACTCTGTGACTTATACCTATATTTTAGGAATAACTGGTTTCAGTGATGTCCAATTTAGCTTCTCTAGTATGTGTTCATCTCATTTTTTTTGAAAGATGTTCAATTTGTTGCAACACATCCTAAAAACGTTTGGGGTTGAAATTACTTTCGCTCTCTTTATCTCCCTGGAACAAGTCATGGTAAAATTGAAGGCAAAACGAAGTAGTTTCATTGGTTCCAGGAGGAAAAAATTGACCAATTACAGGCTGATATGCTCCTTTTAAACATTACAAAGGAGTGACACCCAACTTAAAAGTCATTACAATATACCGATTTGCAAACCAGAGATTCGTTTAATGTACATCAAAGGATCAAACTGGTCTTCTCATCTTATCCATAAGGTGACATGTTCCAGGGACACACAGAATGAATGTGATCATAAATCCTATAGTATGGAGGATAGCGGGAACAGGATCAGTCGTTTACAAAATAGGATCTTATTGGTATAATATACATTAGACAGTAAAATCAGAGATATAATTACTAGTATTGTAAAATCAATTATCATGTAATGGTACATGTTAGTACTTATCGGATTTTAATGATTTTCATTTGTCTGAAATCTGTGACAATTCAGGTTAGGAACTCCAATATTTTACTTCAGATATCTGCTTATAAATGGCATGGTGTATTCAGAGTATGTTAGATGGACAGTATTGTTGTGAGGATGAGAAGGATCTGTTTACTGTACTCTACTTCTATATATCACTTGCTGTTACAAGATCGCTTCTAACATGTACAGCCGTTTCAAACATTAAACCCCTGAGAACTATAACCTGTGTGTTCAAACCTAGACAATAATATTTTTACCTGTGTAATCTGAACCCTATATGTGAACTTGTCCCAGTATGTACTGTCAAGAGTGTTTTCTGTGAGAATACAACCCAGATATATGTCGTTGAGAATATGTGTATGCTGTCTTGTAAACTAGTAGGTAAATAAAGTATTTTAGCCCTTAAATGATGAGGAGTGATCTGAACTTCAGCACAATTGGTTTTCAAACTGATTCAATTTACCTTACATATTGTTACAAATATCAATAAACAAATATTTATTACAATTTGTGTCCATGTTTTCATTCTATGATATCAGTTGTTTTAATGGTGCTTTTTAAATATAATTTCCAGTGTACCATTCATTTGGTAGATAATATATCTCTAATGGTCAAATACCTTCTAAAACCTGTAGTTATGTCAAACTTCAGTTATTCCTTCTGAATAGATGATAGGCCTCAGCTTGTAAACTGGGCATGAAGATTAACAAGAGGCTCCTAGGACCTGTATTGTTCACCTGGTTAAGTTTTGCTGAAATTGCATATTTAATGTAAATGTAAAGCATTTAAAAAAAAAATATGGATGTCTACTTTCACTTTTGGGCCCTGCCCCTCCCACCACTAGGGCCCAGACCCACCATTTATACTGCATTAATAAGGAGCCATCTTGAAAAATATATCTTTATAACAATTTTACAATTGCAAAATCAGTTTTTCCAGCTCACATTATTACATTGCCTGACTAGAAGTCCGGTAGAGGTTTAACTGTTGGAGGAAATCAGAAAACAAGACAAACCATTGTCAGGTAGGTGACCCCATACCCTTTCACCTAGGGAATGCATGGTGAAAGGCAAATGTGTTACCTACCAAAATTCATCCTCATTTAACCTGTTTAAAGATTGTGACGCATCCAAGACAACTTTCTCTAACAGATGGTCCTGAAATTCAGACAACTGTCCCGACCTAGTTATCTGTACTTCTGAGTAACTACCTCGCTGAACAAGTTACCAAGAGCAATTTGGATTATGGTCCTGTTGAAGTACACAAGAGCAAACTGAATGGTGACTGTAATCCCAGCAAAGTAGCATTAATCTAGGCTTTTTGGTTATTCTGTAGTCATTTGCATACTTAACATATCTGACCCTATCGACCTTGATTTGAACATAGATAGCCCTTCATCCTGGCATCAGACACCTTTAACTTAAAAAGTTATTGAATTTCATTAAATATCCATTTGAACAACTTGAAATCCATTCATCAATGATGCTATTGACCTAAAATCTCGAGACATCTCTGTTGCAATTTGATGCCAGATGGATAATAGATGCCACACCTTAGCATTCACACAGGCTACAAATGAGGAGTAATTGTTGACACAGGACAGGAAATGCCGACACACAGGCTACAAATGAGGAGTAATTGTTGACACAGGACAGGAAATGCCGACACACAGGCTACAAATGAGGAGTACTTGTTGACACAGGACAGGAAATGCCGACACACAGGCTACAAATAAAGTAATTGTTGACACAGGACAGGAAATGCCGACACACAGGCTACAAATGAGGAGTACTTGTTGACACAGGACAGGAAATGTCAACACACAGGCTACAAATGAGGAGTACTTGTTGACACAGGACAGGAAATGCCGACACACAGGCTACAAATGAGGAGTACTTGTTGACACAGGACAGGAAATGTCGACACACAGGCTACAAATGAGGAGTACTTGTTGACACAGGACAGGAAATGCCGACATACAGGCTAGCTACAAATGAGGAGTACTTGTTGACACAGGACAGGAAATGTCGACACACTAGCTACAAATGAGGAGTACTTGTTGACACAGGACAGGAAATGCCGACACACAGGCTACAAATGAGGAGTACTTGTTGACACAGGACAGGAAATGCAGACACACAGGCTAGCTACAAATGAGGAGTAATTGTTGACAAAGGAAAGGAAATGCCGACACACAGGCTTGCTACAAATGAGGTGTAATTGTTGACACAGGACAGGAAATGCCAACACACAGGTTAGCTACAAATGAGGAGTAATTGTTGATAAAGGACAGGAAATGCCGACACACAGGCTGCAAATGA